CAATTTGACATAAAATCATAATATCAACTGTATTATATAATGCAAGACAGACTGTCCTTTAATATTTATGGGGAGAGAATCCACTTAGTAATGAAATGCATGCTGTATTACTATTAGGTTTATTCATTTTACATGAACATTCACTTACATTTCTTTCCAATTAATGATTTAGTAAGGGAGGGAAAAAAAACACCCTTCTCCATTAAAAAGATGGTCCATATGTGTCTGTTATCTAACAAAAGACAGATAATAATAACAACTACTCTGATAAACTTTTAGCAAAATTTTAAGCACTACCCACAACTAAAGAATGAATTTGCTAGTTAGTTCTGGTTTTCCCAATGTGGCATTTGAACAGAAATGTATAGAAAGTTTTTAAAAGTTGTTTCTAGTAGCTGTCATTGTTATCTATATAATGCTAAAATGGGTGGACCTTCTGCTTTAATTTCTATGATTATTCAAAAATTATTATTCCTAGAGGTTGCAAGCCATTTGAAGCCTCAATATGGACAAAATTTTATTTCGTAGGCTGTATCTTTGAGCATTTCTGATCTGTAGAGACAACTGAAATGTTTTTGATTAACACTTTAAATTGAGCACACTTTGTAAAAAATATATTTGGATATTATAATATATAAAAAAGGCAAGAGTAAAAAATGTTCTTTAAAAATAATTTGCTGTAAAATTCCCATCAATAACACATTGTATTGAAAATTGAGACTTTTGATATCTAAGGCACATATTACAAATTCCTTTAAAACAAAGATTATGTGAATCTAAAACTACGAGTTTATACTTTCAAATCTATATCACAGCACACTAAACTGATTTATAAAATAGGCCATTGGGTTTTCTTAAATAACAAGACAACAAAAATAAAACTATGATTATACACTGAACAGATTGTCTTATCTTTCTAATACCCCTAATCAAATGAACATCATCTTGAATATAATATCTAAAATTATCTTTGGTGGACAATCAAATAAATGCTATATAAAATACTGGAAAATGCTTCAACACTAAAAGAGGAATTTAGATTAACCTAATTATTTCACTCATTCTGCAACTTCATCATATCTGGTTCTTGAATTAAAAACATAACCATTTTCTTAATTACACTAAAGAATCCTAAAATCCATATCTCATAAGATCCTCTTTATATTCATGTTTTAGTCTAGAAGACATTCTTTTAAGATGCTTGGCTGTTCTAGCAGCTTGTACTAAAGCATCATCTAAATGATATCTATCCATCACAGTATATCTTAAACCTTGTGAAATGTTTGATCGATGTCTAGATGATCCTCGATGACGATCTAAATCCATATCATCGTAAGAACGTACATAACGTCTAACTCTATATCTACGAGGTGGTGGAATATATTCTGGAAGAGTTCTGGTTTCCTGATAATTTGGAAGATGTCTGTTGGAAGGAATTTGGTAATTTTGTAAGCGTTCAAGTCTTTCATTAATTGCTGCTAAATCATCTTGTGTAACTCTTCTCTGTTGAGGTTGAGTGTAGTCAACACTATCATGACCATTTTGGTGCTGACCTTCATAAGGTGGGGGATTAGATGCTTGAGCAGGCATTGAGGTCATAGGAGTTGGAGAATTAAATCCTTGGATGGGCGAATTTCTTAGAGACCTCCTTATATGTGATGGTGTAGCACGGTTGCTTCTGAGATATCTGACTTCTTCCATCATTTCTTGTACAGTATCACCATTTTGTGTAGGATAAGCCTGAGCACCTGTCTGTGTTCCTTGTTGACTTGTAGTAGCATCACCTGGCTGACCACGTGATCGCAATTGTTTTACATCCCTGTATAAGGTTTCAAGTCTTTCTTGTTGCATTGATGGTTCTGTAATATGACTGGTGTCATCATCATAAACACTACTTGTGTCACTACCGATACCATGCTCTTTCTTAATGTCCTTCACCTCCATCAAAATACTTCGTAATAAATCTGAACGATTACTACGTCTCTTTTTCTTTTTCTTGGGTGTTTGTGTTTCAATATTACGAGGGGGCTCTTCAAACATGGTTTCGTCTGTTTGTGTACGTATGTGTCCTGGTGTCTGACAGGCTACGTTACGCATATCTTCTGGATCAGCACTTTGAAAAAAACCTTCAATAAAACTAACAGTTGAATCTTCATCAGAATCATAAACCAGAGTCGTCTCTTTCACATTCATAGAAGCTGATAACGTATCGTCAAGATTGTTGTCGAAACTCGATGCTTGCATAGTTTCCAGAAGCGTGTCACCATATCCTGATTCTTCGCTTTCATATTCTAATGCACCTGAAGCACCTTTCTTAAAACTCTGATCATGTAATGTCCGACTTAATGGCCTATCACGACTTTGATTTAATGTTCTATCACGGGGAGGTTTCGATGATTTATCACGCCCAGAATTTAGACCTCGATTTGGATTTATACTGCGATCACGACTATTATTTAGAGTTCTATCACGACTTTGATTTAAGGTTCGATTTAGTAATCTATTGTTTGGATCTCGTAATACACTTCCGCTTCCAGGAAAGAATCTGCTGTCACCAGAGTTAGGCTTTGGTCTACGATAGGGAAAAGAATCATCATCACTGTCGTATGGTGTGAATGGTGTTCCTCTCGAAGCAGATGTTGGCGTTTGTGTAGATCTACATTTTCTTCTGGTACGCTGTTTAAATTGATGGAGGAATAAAGAATTAGTATCATGCAAATAAAGTCAATATTTAACAGATTGATATGATCACAGCAGCTTTTGAGAACTTTAGGTTAGAAGTAAAATCATTTGCATTCACCATTCTCATGCTTTTTAATCAAAACTTGTAACAGTACTAATTTAAACATTTGAATTATATTTTAAAGTTTATCTTTTTTCCTATCAGGTCTAAATATATTCTACAAACTAAAGGTAATAAATAAACAAATATCTAGCAAACTAAGTAAAAAGCCACACATAAATATAACTAATAAATATTCTGAATGAAGGATGAAATGATCAAATGAATAGGTAAAATGTGAAATGATGAATTTAAAAGTTGCATACGTTGCTTTGCAATGTAAAATTTCACAATTTGAAACACATAAAAAAAGTAAGTTTTCTAACTGTGCGAATAAAAAGGGAAGAATGTGCATTTCAGAAATACAAACATTAACAATGTTATTAAAAAAAAAAAAAAAAAAAAAAATAAGCATCCACAGGAAAAAAGGCAAATTTGACTGGAAAGTTATTTGTAAAGATTCAAACAGTTAATTTTGAGACCAGATAATTAACACCAAATTCTAAAAACTTCTGTCTTCAGATGTAAAGTAAACATTAAAAAAAAAGGTATTTACTACAGTATGTGGGGAAATACAATAAAGTGAAAAGGGTTTTACGTAAAGACAGATTCTTTCAAAAGCTGCTCGAAGTGATCATGCAAACACAAAACTGTTTTCATAAATCTGATATAGATGTTGATTTACTTACATGATACTAGATCATTTTTCCTCCATCATTAAACAGTATTACACAAACAAGTATACATGTCCAACTTCATTGACAATACAATGATATTGCTAATAATATCTTATACATCTACATGACATTTAAGATACATTTCCAGTAAATGACATCGAATTGACTTATATTCTGCTACATGTATATTTAATTAGATTAAGAAATTCATGCAAAACATTGATCAACTCACTAATAACCTATTATTCAATCAATAATTCCTATACATGAACCAACATGATTTTCAGCCAATGAATGCTAATGTTGTAGATGTATTGTATGTTATTTTGAGATTCAATGTTTTGTGTAAATGCTATTAATGTTAAAGCTATTACCACTTGTATTTAGAATTGATCTATATAAGAAGCTTATTATTTCCTACCATTGTACAATATGTCACTAATCAGCAAGTTGACAGCTTTATACTAATCCTTATCATAGTCACAATACCCATATCTGAGTTCAACAATTAATTTGCAGTAACCACTAATTTTTCATTCATTGAATAATAAATACCTCAAGAACAGATTTATCAATCCATATCTATAGTGATCCCCCAGATTTTGAAATAAAATCTGCTAACCATACCTCACTCATTGAGTTTGAGTTCTGAAAGATATTTCAAATGCTAGTAGTTTTCCTGTACATTATAAATGTACAGAGAATGGTCATTTCTATTAGTAACTGGAGTAAAACTGTTTTATCTAGTATTATTTTTATTTTTGTTAAAACACATAATAAACCTTTAAAACAATACATGTACATAATGTGATTGTAAATGTGATGAACACGCAGTGGAAATAAGTGCATGGCTGAAAACAGTAGAATCGATATACGGTACATAAAACAACAATGAATATTTAATGAATTCAATATGGAAATGGACATGCAAAGCAAGTATGCAACTAAAAATCTAGATCTACATTTCTTTACTAAGCTAAATTCTTACTATATGTATATATATTTAGGACAGTTCATGCATTAATTTAAATTGGACAACTATTCTCTCTGTACTATAAAACTACAATTTAATTTACGATATGATTATTTTTGTTTATCTTTGAATTTCAAGAATTGGAAGAATAACTTTCTTAATTTCTACTATTGATATTAAATAAATAGATTTCTCCCTCTATACCACAATTTTCAATTCTTATTTTTATATATTCCAAAGTTTAGAACAAAATTAGAAACTTTGTATATGTCGGTTTGTTAGGTATTTATGTGTATATTTTCCCTAAACATAGAATTCCTATTTTATATTAGCTTTCTAGTATACTGAATATTAGCTTTGCAATTCTATGTATAATATCTAACTGTAACTTGAAAACCTTTACTGTCATGATAAATTTTATGACATTCCAAAAATACATAAACTGTCTTTTCAATGAAGCATCAAAACAGTAAAGAATTTCTAGTATCATTAGAATCTAATCTAGAATATAAGAGAATATAGATGAATATATAACTGAAAATCAAAACAATTAATATACAAAACTCACCTTAAGACGTGCACTTCTTTCGGTCATATTAGCATCTGACTGGTCAATGCGCTCTAATTCTCGTACATAGTTTTCTAAATCTTCGTCCATTGTATCCTGGCGATCTTGTAGATCTTTAGCAGCCTGTAAGGCCTGTTCTCTATCTATTAGTAGATTTTCAATCTGACCAAGTAATTCCTCCCAATCATCTTTCAATGCTCGTATAACTGGATCTGGTATTGTGTCATTGTGTTGTGTTAAGTTACGGTATTGAGATAATAGTTCTTCTATAGCCCGACCACGGCCCTGAACTTCATTTCTTATACCCTAAAAACACATGGGCAAAAAATATAATGAATAATGCTATACTTTTTAATGGTATCATGTTTAACAAAAATACTGCACATGGTTTCAATTTTCTATATTATAGGTGATATTCCCATTTTATGCATCAAACCAATGATGTTAGTGGCACATAGTTTCAAACAGTCATTTTAAAAAATAGAATACATCAGCAAATCTACTTTCTACAAAATATCAAAATACACTTACCCGTAATCGATCAAGATCTAATTCAGCGGCTTCAGCATGTAGCTTAGATGGTCGATTCTCTATTTCTGATACTTCTTCTTGCTTATTATGTAACCAGTGACGCAAATCAGCACGAGATCTATCAACAGATTCCCACTGTCTCATCATATCACGTAACCTGTCTAATCTTTTCTCTACCTGTAATAATGTTAAGAAACAAATTAGAATTTACACAGAGACAGAGTTTAAACACTTGAGATAAACTAGGTCATTTCAAGACTAACATATGGTTCAATTTTATTTCAACAATTCGCTTGCGCATAGGGTTCTAACCACCCTGCCAATCCCCCCACCTCAGAATTTACAGAGCATAGGCTCTAATAAGACGTGCAGGAGAAACACACCACACATAACACATGTCTACCGGATACTCAAAATTCAGCAGCTTTTGAACTTAAAGATCTCAACATCACCAACTTTTAGTGACACTATGTCTGGTGGAAGCAGTGAAAAAGTAAACATTTCAACAAACTATTCTACCCTTGTGGATTGCTCAGTGATAGCACCCAAACTATCAAATGCTGATTGCTGCTTACTAATTTCATATCTAACGTTCTTGTTCAATTAATTTCTAGTGCCAGATAATGTAATATACCCAAAAATCTTCATAAAAGTTACCTGAATAATACTCTCTTTCATGTGTTGATTAACATCAGCAGAAAATTTAGACAATGGTGATTCAAGAGAAGCATCTTCTTGATTTAAGTTTTCCATACTACCTTGATTTTGACATCTATGAGCTGAATCGGCTAAGTTCTGTTTCATACTGTACAGTTTTTCTAGCATTGCCTGAAAGACATACATTCATCTTTATAACACTGGGGCTACGGTATTAAGAGGTCAGATTTTTTAAGGTTGCATCTGCAGGACTGACAAGGGAAATGTTGCACAGATGAAACTGGAGGTCTACCTGCCTATTCATAAACATTCATGTAAAAGAATCCATGAACATTGCAATTTGAAGGACATTAGTTGGAAGTTCTGCTGTCTGAGTGAGATTCACAACCTCAGGAAAAAAGATTAGCATAACTCTTACAGTACCTGTGCTGATTCTCTCTGTTTCTGTGCTTCATCTATACTATCAGGAATACTGGAGTCCGCTTCTTGTATCCACTCAACAACGTCACCAGACAAATATACTTCTGTGTTCTCTAACAGATCTTTATAATTCTGCCATTTGTTCAAGATATCTTGCAGACGCTCCTAAAATCAGTTTTATAGTGGAATGGAGATAGGATTGAGCGAGTTGGATATTTTCTTTTTTACATAGGTATAACACCAGCTTAATTAACATGCATCTATTCCTCGATTTGCATTCCAAAATACTGTGTGCAATTTGAATGAGAATATGATTGTTGTAGTTAGAGTAACAGAAAATAATTAATGTATTCGTTGATGATCATCAAAGCAAATTCTGCAGCGATGGCATGTTCTTTGTGTGAATTTAAATCTGATATGTTAAAGATTTGAAGAGAAATGAAGATTATATTAGGACCTGATAAAAGGTGGATTAATGTATTAAATCACAGTAAAGACTTTAGTTGGTATGCACTGTATAGTATTAATTAGAATCAGTTATGTTTGTACATGTATTTATAAGGGATTGTGTGACTTTCACAATTTTTGTTTACAAAAAAACAGAACTGCATTTTCCTTCATATCTCTGCAACGCCGTGGTATGACTATATACACGTACCACTACATTCCTGTCTGAAACCACAACATGGTTAAAGGGTTATGGAAATTCTGCTTTTAACTGATACCTCAACAATGGAATCACAATGGGAATATAGTTCATATTGGAATGGCTTAGCCTGTTCTGAATTTTACTATATATTATACATGAAATCTGAAATTCAGAGTTGGCTCTTAAGTTTAAAGTTTGAAGGTTTAACTGAAGAATAACAATACCCGGTACATTGTTTAAAAAACTTTAAAATTTAGATGTATTCATTTTATTTCCTTCTGCTTAAATGTCGAGCCAGACATCTGAAATTCAAACTAAACGAGTATGATACATAGGAGTGAAATGATGCAATGGTGGATCACAAAACTTCTTCACCTACTTTCAGCATGCATACATGTACTTGGTTTGCAACCATAACAAAGACAGTTATGTCATGACAAAAATAATTAAAATCAAAATTATGTCATGGAAACTAGTATCAAAATGGCTGAATAGAATAGTTATTCATGATCCACCATATTTCTTTAAAATGATACATTAAGTAGGTAGTTTAGATAAATACAGATTGAATATTTAGATATAAATATAACTGTCTGTTGCCATTGTCATACAAAAGAAACATGCACACATGCTATTAATAACACAAATAGTTATCAGTATCTAGTATACCAATATTTTATTACATTCAAAAGAAATCAATACAATATAATATTAAATATAAATAATAATGAAGATCAGTATTATATTATGTAATAAAATAATACTTAAAAAATTCTAAAAACATAGATACATCAATAGACAATCACAGTTTAAGGATATCAATAATAACCTAACAAATCTGCAAACTTCAAAATAATATAAAACTAACAGTAACATAACTTTAAACAAAAATCCTGACTATGAATTATTAAACGGACGGATAATAAAAAATTATAAAAATATCAGAACAAAATTCTAATATAATCAGTATAAAATCTTTCAGTGTATAGAATGTACAAGAATATTTGAAAAGTTAATTTTATTTAGTTTCATCTAGAGTATGATGCTCTTCATTAGTATAGTGTCCTATAATATAACTGAATATAATGTCATTAATAACACTTAAAATGATAATTTTAGATAAATAATGTCATGTTAAATTTCATGCAGCGGTTGATGATCTTTACTATACTATGTATATTTGTCTTATAAATGAATATAATTTTGTAAATAAAATTTAAAGTAGATGTTAAATACTGGTTATTGTGGGTAAAATATAATTTTGGTTAGTTAAGATAAGACATAGATCATAGATTTACCACGATTTAAAATTAGACAAGGATTTATAGGCAAAAATACTAATTTATAGAAAATTTTCCACAGGAAATTTAAGAGCATTGCAAGTCAGATAGATATACACAGCAATGAGCAACATAAGCATAGAGCAAAGGATATATCGAACTTATATATCTTTTTAGTTAATGAGAGTAGCCCTACACAGTACGGTACACACTCTGTTATGTATACAAACAGATTTGATCCTATTTATACAGAACAAACTATATTTTATTGTACCTTCAATCAACTCAAATATTTTTTAAATAAAAACAACAAATCTAAATTAAAGTGAAACATCTGCAATGTTAGCCTTTGAATCACATATCAAAGCAAGTTCATCAATTAAGCAAGATCACAAGGAAGAATAGTCAGGGTTAATTAAAATTATAATTTACAATTCTGGAGAAAAATGTATAACTCCTGGAACAATAAGAAAATATCATGCAATTATCACTTTTCATAAACCATTACTTCATAATCTAAATACTTTTACAAATAGCACTACAAATAGTCTACAATAAATAAATAAATGAATCTAGCCTATATAAAGACTGTATTGGATGGAATGATGACGATAATTTTTTTAATATAACTCTAAAAAATATCACAGAATACTTAATAAATACAAATTTAGTATATCACAGGCAATGAGGCATTCATTATCCAATGTCAATTTTAATTATAAGTTGTACAATCAAAATTTTGCAATGTCTTTCAAAATACTACGAGTTGATTTTTGATGAAAAACTTAGAAAAAATGCCATATATTTTAGATGTACATCTTTTAAATTAGGCAAAAATTCCTCATGCAGCAATGAGATCGTATTTTTTCATTTATATGATAAATCCAGGTCGTTGTTGTCTTCATTTTGATTTTTGGAATAATTGGCACTGCACGACTGGTTGTTGCTGGGGCATCAACTCGGATATATGGTGACAATGGTCATCTAGTAGAGATAGAGTTCGATATGGTCTAAAACAACCTGTGAGAGGACAATCAAGGTTAATCAATCAAGCCAGCAACCAATCAAAACACATCAAACAAAAATCAAAATAAAAGCAGAAATGATTCTGAGGAGCAAGCTAGGCAAACCAAATGGTTAAACTAAAAAAAAAAATCTTTTACATGCATTTGAAATAAATATTATTGATGGAAAGAAAACAATAAACTACTGTTTACTATACAAAGATGACACTGATTAACTATATTAAAAGGTGAGTACGAGAAAAAAAAATTGTGTTTTTGTTATGTTACTCAGCTTTACGAAGAAAAATCACCAATGTCTATACAGTGTTAGCAAGAAATACCCATCTTTTTGATGTATTTATAAATACACTTTAGATGTGACTTTAGATTTAAATCCAAATTTACTTTCAAGGTGCTTCATGTTTGAGTGTAATTTTTATCTTGCAGTTTAGTTTTACTCATAAAGTATAGCATCAGAATGGATTTCATATCATACCCATAACAGTATTAACAGTGGAATCAGATTTGTCGTAATCAGACAAGATTATTGAAGTTTTCACGCACTTGGCAAAACAACACAGATTGGTTAATCATTAGGGATTTTGTTAGTGAATAAAATTGCATAGTTTTTTTTAACTGGTGCTAAAAATATGTTCTAATATTTGATCAACAGATAAATATAATAAAACAATTCTACATCATACTCTCACTTTAAGATGTTACACTCAAACATGTTAAATTATCATAAAAGAGAACAAACAAAAACAACCCGAACATGTTAATGTAAATTATTAGTTCTGCAAAAAAAGCAACTTATTTATAAAACATTCACACAATACAACAACAACTACATGCAGGTTTCTACATTGTTCATGGCAACAGACAGTTTTTTTATATAAATAAATCTCTCTAAAGAATGATATAAAACTACCTACAAATTTAATGTACGTAGCAGTTTATGTGTGTTGATATGTAATGGTATGTTGGTATGTTTTAATTAACTACCCTCAGTTAGGATTTGGGTGAAACAGTATGGATATGTGGTGGATGATGATAAAGTACATTGTGGAATGGTGAAAACAGTCAGCACTATCTTTAACAGCATTTAACTCTTAGTAAGTGTGGACTAGAATGCACAGGACACAATTATATGAAACATGATAGACTAGAAAACCCTAGTCAAATGTCCCTCAGTAATATACTATTCAAAAAAAGTAGGGGATATTTGATTTTGGGGGCATAATACTAAAATATGCAAATGACTACGAAAAAAGTCACTATAGAACCTAACAGAAGAAACATTTCCAGTTACATGTGACGCCCAAACGCACCAATAGCTACCGCATGGAATGCAGGTGATGCTTGGGATCATCATGGGGGTCCAACCCAAGATTTGCACGACTCTGACTTTGAATGTTACAGTCATTGTGCCATTGAATTCCAGGGTGGAAACATCAGTTTAATTGTTTTAGTGACCAGAAAACAAATTTTGATATGCGTCGGCTTACCCAAAATGAAAGGTTACGTGCCCTTGGCATGCTACAGATCGGCACAACACAGGCGGTTGTGGCGCGGACGATGAATGTTTCTCAGTCTGTCATAAGCAGGCTATGGTCCAGATACCGTGATACACAATCTGTACAGGACAGACCACGCTCAGGTCGACCAAGGGCGACAACTCAAGCCCAGGATCGATTTATCCGTACCTTGGCCTTGAGAAATCGTGTCATCACAGCAAATCAGATCAGCGCTCGTCTTCAAACAGACACTGGTGTGAGAGTGAGTAGCCAGACGATTCGGAATCGACTGCATAGGGGTCACCTTCGCGCCCGACGTCCTCGCGTGATCCCTTGTTTGAGAGATCATCACATTCAGGCAAGACGTCGTTGGTGTAGGGATCGTCAACACTGGGATAATCGACGCTGGAGCAATGTGATGTTTTCAGATGAGTCAAGGTTCACTGTTGATTTTTTGGACAGACGTAGGAGGGTGTGGCGTCGTCGAAACGAGCGCTTCCAAGACGTTAACGTCATCAGACATGATCGATTTGGGGGTGGTTCTGTTATGGTGTGGGGAGGCATCACTGTTGCTGGAAGAACGGCTTTACATGTTGTTGCAGGGCGTGTTACAGGCCAGTACTACCGGGACAACATCTTGGCAGTCCATGTTGTTCCGTTCGCACGACGTCATGGCCGCCGTTTCATCTTCCAGGATGACAACGCAAGATGTCACAGGGCAAGGATCGTTACAGGTTACCTCCAACAACAGAACATCACCACATTACCTTGGCCAGCACGAGTCACAACCTCTCCCCCATCGAGCATGTCTGGGACATGCTTCGACAGAGGTTACGTCAACGTCAACAACGTCCTGCCAATGTCCAAGAACTTGCTGCTGCGTTGCAACAGGAATGGGACAATCTGGACCAAAATGACCGTAGACGTCTCATTAGGAGTATGCCACGTCGGATCAATGCTTGTTTGGCAAACAGAGGAGGATTTACCCGTTACTGACTTGGTTGTGATGCTGTGGTAACTTTGCTGTTTGACCCCGGGTATCATTTTACCCTTATAATGGTCAGTCTGTGCCTTACTTAGTCTAACGATCATTTGGAATAAATCGATGAATGTGAACTTCATTTCATTTTGTCATTTGTTTCTTCGTCAGTTTCATTAGGTGACTTTAATAACACTTAAAAATCAAATATCTCCTACTTTTTTTGAATAGTATATATGGTAATCGAATTCAATAGAATAAATTACATGCTGGTACAATTGTTCAGCACAATTATTAAAGCTCAATACGTGACGCATTCAAAATTTAATCTCAACATCAAAATAACAAGAATTGTGCTTTCAAGTTATGGGAAAATCATGTATAAATATTTATATTACAAGAGGTCGAGCAGAAAACACATTGTTGAGTTAAATAATTGTTGAAGTTATGCTGACTATAAATCTCATCAAGATGAACAATCTACCAAAGATTTTGTATACATGTACATAATATATCTTTATGACACATTTTAACTTATTTTGTTTTCAATGCTTTTAGAATCATTAGTTATAATCTTGATTTACAATATTCAAACAGCTATTCTGGATATGTTTAAGCTAAAAGTGTGCCACATACAACCAAAAGAATAGCATAGATTATTTACTTTGATGAGATGATATGAATAGGATGTGATGAAATACATAAATATTTGAATAATTTGATCAACTAACACACTTAAATATTCAGTTTACCAACTAAGATTATTTTCAATAGCTTCAAAGCAGAATATTATTCCTAGTTGAATAAAATACTAATAACTATGAATACATCGAGAATTTGATACAAGTAATTCTTAAAAGTATATAAAGAGAATAGGGACCCTGCAGGACTAAATATCGGGACGACTACCCACCACTATATAGATTTCCAAGTAATTCTTAATCAGGAAAAGGATAATATTGATTGCTACTCTGCCTAGGATTTTTAATTTATTGATCTGCATTTATATTTAGTATATAAGAAGAGACAATTCCGTATTTATTTGATTTCTCCCTCCCCAAAAAGGAATTAACTTATCAAGAATAGGTATCTTCAAGGAGATTTCACAGAACATGTTGCTTTATACCAACCAGGTGATATCATCTGTGAAAAACTTAATTGTGGCAGTAATTGAAAATAATCCCAAAAATAAAATTTTGTTGTAAATTGATTTTTATCATTTCCATGAATTGCTTTAAATGTCCAAAGATTTAATTTGACAATTAACAATTATTATGTCATCTCAGCAGTCTTATATGTAAATAATATTTCATAGACTTACCTTTATCTGTTGAGCTGTCGCTTGTAAGTTTGTGTAACTTTCTTCTAGGTTCTGTAACTGAGATTGAATTTGTTCAGACAGTTTGAAAACTCCCGGATTATTTATAATCAATTCCTGACCTATCTTGTTGACATGATCCATGGTCGATCGATAATTAGTTATCTCTCTTAGAATAGCCTGAAATGTAAATATTAATTGCTGTTATATTATCAAAAAACAATAAAACTAGACACATTTTTTGCAGGGATGCCAAAGACCCCCAAAACAACCCCCAGAGAATTTCCTGAGGGAAATAGTGAAAAAATAAATAAATCATAAGCTACCCATTAACGTCCAATTATGTTAACATTTGATTTATTTAATATAACGGCATATTGTCAGCAACAATTGTTGCAGTGGACATATTTATCCCTTTAAAATGAGAATATGAGTAGAACTCTCCAGTTTTCTTTATATGTGGTTCAAATGGTAGAAAATGTTTTTAATGACAATCACCATTACTTTTAATCACCATCTATTTATAAATAGAGATCCCTAATCACTGACCAATCAACAATGATGTGGTTATGAATTTTCAAGACAGTTTAGAAACATATCAAGGAAGAAGAAGGGAATGTGAATATTGGTGAATTTTGATAATTCAGAGATGTCCAGAATATATAATGAAAATTTCAAACCGATACTCGCCCTTTAGTCATTAAGTTTTTTACCTTATGCTTTTCAATCTGTCTTTCTGTCAGTTCCATAGTTGAGACATTTAAAGAATTATGAGACATAAGACGGAAAGATGTTTGAAGAAGCCATTTTTCACAGTCTTGTTGAGTTTCATGGAAGAGAAGATGTTCATCGTATCTGTCTTGAAGCATTTCAACATAATCCTATAACAATGTTTATAATATTAAATATTAAAGGAAGATTTTATAAATTTTATAGATAGCAAGAATGGGGTAGTTATGAAACCATTAGACTCATCAGCTGGTGGCCTGTATGAAAAATGTGTGTTGTTAACTCTTTTGGAATTCAGATCAACATCTCGACTCTTTTTATATAGGGTGGGGCTATTTGCCACATGTGGTAAGATAATTCGCCATATGTGGCAAGTCTCCGAACCACAATTATCAACCGATTTCAATGAAACTTACACATCACGATAACATTAATAATATCTCAAGAGTAGCCAAAATTTCGGACACTTCCGGTCAGCAGTTTCAGAGACATTGGATAACTACACATTTCATGTGGCATGGCTACAGACCTCAATTATCAACCGATTTCAATGAAACTTACAGAATATGATAACATTGATCAAATCTCAGAGTAGCAAAAGTTTCGACCACTTCTAGTTAGCAGTTTCCAAGATATCAGGTTACCACACATTTGTGTGGCACGACTACAGACCGCAATTATTGACCGATATCCATGAATCTTACAGAATATTATAAAATTAATAATATCTCGAAGTAGCCAAAATTTCAGCCACTTCCGGTTGGTGGTTTCCGAGATATCAGGTTACACACATTTCATGTGGCACAACTGCAGACCGCAATTATCAACCGATATCCATGAAGCTTGCAGAATATTAATGTTATCATATTCTGTAAGTTTCATGGATATCGGTTCATAATTGCGGCAAATAACCACTGTCTTTTATATATTTTATAAGGGCAATATCTTTTGACAATTCAGTTTTTTGTTCAACATCGTAAGTATTTTGATAAAATTTAAATTAACGTACCTGAGCTTTATTTCTGACTGCCTCATACCGTCTACGCACATCAGATAATGATTCAGCAATTTGTGGATTATCACATAAAGCTTGCAAATTAGCAACTCTCTCAGCCAGCTCATTTATCAATCTATTATGATTCTCAATATCTGTTAATATCAGCTACAAAATACAAATTATAAATTTTGTCATTATATCAAGGCCATTTCAAAAACAGCATATAATGATTTTCAAAATATATGGTTAAGTTTGCATTGCAAAGTAGCATGTTACCAATATCCATTGTAAATTGTATCAAGTTTTATAGGCTCAAATTTCCAAATCATTTAATAAACTTGACAAATTTATTCCCTACAGATAATATTAATTGGTTGAAAAAGTTGTAAAATTTCAAATGCTGTTACGTTTAGGCAGTGTTCAAAATGTTTCAGAGATGAGATATATATTATAAAGGTCTACCTGATATCTATCTAACTGTGTTTTCTTTTCCGCCAAGGTACATTTTATTTCTGGTTCAGGAATTAAAAGATTTTCAGTATCAGCTAGCCAGCGTATAATGCTACCAAAATACTCTTCGTAATCATGCCAGCGTTGCTGAACACCTTCCAACATAGCTGTAGCTTCCGTAATGGCCAAGTTCAATTTGTCCCAATCATTGGTCAAATCTGTTACTTGTTCTTCAATCATCTTTTTACCATCCATACTAGTATTAGGTAATATTTTCTCTGCCATGTCACAAACATGGTTGACCTTTTGTAGACCTTCATCCATATTAGCAGTTATATCCTAAAGTAATATCCAAAATATGTAAACTGTTAACTATAAAAGTTGGGTTTTACCATGGACCTTATAATACATGGACTGGCAACGGCTTAATAACCTAACCAGAGATGTATGGCGCCCTGTAATTTGAGACACGTCGCGGTAATTTGAGACGTGTCAATCACGACCAAACGAAAGTTGTTAACGAGTTATGTCCCTTCGCGGCGTCTGTAGTTACCTGGCATGCGTACTGCTCCATTATGAGTATAATGGCTGGCTTACAGCACCTATAAATAAATCTGCGAGCCGTCGGATGTTTATATTTTATTGAATAATATGCCAATAAAATTAAACTTATTTTAAACAAAATTTCTCACTTTTTCTATCTAAAGAAACTGGGCAAAACTGTGGGGAAATTTGGGTCAAATCAAATACAGGTTTATTCATGATTGTTGAACAGTACATGCATTGGTACTTGAAAATATCACAAAACAAAATAATTTTTTAAAAATGTTAATATTTGTTTAAAAAAATAAGACTTTTGCCCAGTACAGTAGAAAAGATATCAAAGTTTATGGAGAAAGGGATCATTAATTCCAAAAATAAATGTTTCACTGATTGAAAGCAAAAATAAAATCACATATTTTTTCATAAAATTGTCTAAAGTGTTATTTTCGTTGTTTTTAGAAAGTAATTAATTATATTTCACTTTTTTAAAAATCGATGATTATTTTTCCAAACAATGCCTTAGATTCACGTGTATCAGAATTATGTCAGAAAAATATGAAATAACAAATAGATTTTGATTGAATGCAAAAATCCCGACGCATGTTTTCGATTGTTCATATAACAACAAACAATGGTGAAGTCTTTGTTTCGTAGATGCAGTCTACGTGTAGTTTGAAGATGGTAATTACAAAGTTGTTTAAAATAAAATGTATACATATATGCAACGGAAATTATAGTTAATGACTTATCTTGTCAAACAAAAGTTTATTTTAGCAGTTTTTGGTAAATTCAGGACACAAAACGGAACGATGAAAACGTGTGACTATGTATAGCTAATTAGCGAAGACATTGAGTAATATCGCTATTGGCTTCTCTCGTGTTTTCTCGCGCGAAGTCTTGCGCGGCTGGCATTTAGCGTTATTGCTTCTAGTAACCAGTCCATGTATTATAAGGTCCATGGTTTTACTCAAGATCATCTCCAAATTGATAAAACCTGATCAACTAAAGACTATTCATCATGCCATTCACTTTTATCACTTAATTAAAGTGGCATTAGCAGGGCTCACAATGTCGATCTCCAAAGTCGCAATTTGCGTTAAAAATATGAAAGTGGCGATTAAAATTTGATTTTGGCGATAATGTTTTGCAGTACTGGCGATTCTTTTTGAGAACTGGTGGAAAAATCTTAAAATTCTAATCGTATTTATCCGGATTGATCATTATTAAGTGTCAATCACGTGGCGGGATACTATAAATTAATCAACTGGCAAATAATCCGGATCGAGGCAAGATTAGATATAGAGCTGAGAGTTCTTGCCATAATAGTAAATAAATAGATAATGAAAAAGAGAATATGGTGAAAATTTCAGTCAAATTACTTCACTCTAAGCTTAGATATTAGAGTCATTACTACTGTTGTTACGATAATAAACAAAGTTTCGATTATCCATTTTTACGGTAACCACATCCACCAGAAAACGTATTTGAATCCACTAAATATCGCAGGCATCCGATGGCATCAAGAGTTGATTATGGTTTTGGTAAGATAATTAATATCTAATTAATATTTTAGATAATATTTTAGGCCTAAAGAAAGACCTGCAATAAGCAGATTTAGCTCTTGCATAATGCATGTTTAAACTTAAATATATATTATTGGCTTTGATTATGGTACAGCATCTATAACTACCATATTGTCATAAGGAAGTAACAAATTTCTACCTTTATATCATCTATTTTATCTTGTGTAGAATCCCAACCACCTGTAGTATCTTTACAGGCTTCAATACGTTCTCCCATCCATTTAATCCATTTATTAGCATTAGCTAGAGCATTATCATATTCGCGATGATCTTGAACATTATCTCGTAATCTTCTCACCATATTCTAAAAGATTAAAAGTAAAGTCATTTTATTCAAACCCTTGACTTATATTAGTTATTATTAATGGACAGAATCTTTAGATCTCACATAGAATGTTAGGCAATGAAATTATTCATGCAACATTGCCATGAATGTAACTTTGGAGTAAGAACTTTCAAGTTTGTCATACATAGTTTCCAAAGATTGCAAGGGTGTAAGACAGCGCGTCATGGGTATAATCTACGTCCCACTAAAATTTGTCTATGAATAATGTCATCTTGCTTTATATGGGTAATTTTGTTATTGATAATAGTATCAGTTTTGACTAAAATTTAAAGATGAATGTTTCCATAACAAAATACATGATCAGCAAGTAGGGATTACCTTAGATGAGGAACATAATGACTGATATTTTGTAGATAATTGCATCATGTTATTAGAGAGTCTAGGATCACTACTTCTTTGTGCAATGGCATCTCCCTTCTCCCTCACTTTCTCTAATGCAATCTTGTTGTCAACAATATTATCACACAGGTCCTAAAAAATTTAAATAATTTATCAAAACATATCTTTGTAATACATATACTTGTATAAATGTCAATGTGACAATGCTTTCTGGTCTTATTTTACAAGGGAACAGATAGGTTTATAAATTACAGAAATCTGAAACTTACTTCCCCATGTCTTAATTGTTGTTGTTTCTTAAATAAATTACTGGTTGGTTCCAACTGATCTTTTACTTCTTTGTTCATTTTTTCAATCCATTCCAAAAATGCTTTCTGTTCATCATCGAGCTGACTCCAGTTAGCAATGGCTGCCTCTAGATTATTTTCTACTTCACCAACAGCTGACGCAAAACTATTCCAATCATCTCGTAATGATTTTACTTCTTGTTGTATCACTTCTTGTCCACGAGGGGCTGTTTGACGACAAACCTGGTTACCAAGTGTAGCAGCTCTTTCTACCATTTCTTGCCCATGGCTGAGTTCTAATTTGAATTCCTGAAAATAATAAGCATATAATTTCAATAAATTCTATATTGCATATTTTTTTTTTCTGAAAGAGGTATTAATGCTTTTTCAAAAAGATATATACATAATATTCAACATAATTCTTGCAAAACCAATTGGCTCACTTTCCAACTTCTTCACCTAAAAGTTGATACTCATGTGACAAGCATACTGAATTCTAATTGTGAGTGACATCATTGTATGTTTATTTTCATTATATCAAAGCAATATGCTCTGTACGACAGACTTTTTGAAGATACGATGCCAGGTAACGATAAATAAGCCCACAGCAGCTTAATCGTCCAAGTGGTCGACAAGGGTTGTCGCATATTTATTCTTTTGTATCGGGGGCATATACAAGACAACTTCATACAGATAACTTTAAAATTTTCATTGTTTGAGGGTTCACAAGGTGCTACAAACTGAAACAAGGGCCTTAACTCTGGAGATAATTTAAAGAAATTGTTAAAATTCTACAGTCTTTTTTGTTTTACCTATTAAAATAATGCGCATCCATTTCAACGAAGTGAAACAAGGGCCATACCTCCAGAAGAAATTAATGGAAATTGCTGAAATTCAATAGGCTTCTTAATTTCATTTATTCAAATGATCAGATGATAACTTTTGTCATTTGAGCATTACAAAGTTGAACAAACTGAAACAAGGGCCATAACTCCAGAAGAAAGTAAAAGAAATTGCTGAAATATAATAGGCTTCTTCGTTTCACTAATTTAATTAATGTAAATAAACTTCATTAGAGCATTCACAAGGTTCAACAAAGTGAAACAAGGGACACAACTCTAGATGTAATTATTTGAAATTCAATAGGATTCTTCGTTTCGCTAAATTAAATGATGTATAAAAAATTTCATACAGATCGGATAACTTTGGTCATTAGGGCTTTCACGGCTTTCCAGAAGAAATTAATGGAAACTATTGAAATTAAATAGGATTCTTCACCTGACTAATGTAAATGACATATATCAATTGCATTACAATCAGATGATAAAAGTAGACTGTAGGGTGTTCACAATAAAATGTGGACGACGGTCAGACAGATGAAATGACGGCAATATACGACCACATTTCCATGTGCGCGTATAAGAACTGTTCTATTTTTGCCTTGAGCTATGGCACATTATAAGTATTGTTAAAATTTGTTGTATTGAGCATTTGAGAAATCTTACTCGTAGTTGTTGAAGTCTATCTTGTAATGTTTTCCTGTCACCAGAATAATCACTTAATCGCTGTAGCCTATGTTTAGTATTAGCTAACCAATCTAAACAGGCTATATAGGCTTTACGATATTCTTCATGACTTGTTACTTGTTCTTCCATACGACTTACAAGATCCTAAAATTAGAATTGGGTTTATTACAATATGTCTAAATAACATCAATATCCATCACTAAAAATAATTCTATGGCCATACTTGTGTAAAATCTGGAGAGAGAGAGAGAGAGAGAGAGAGAGAGAGAGAGAGAGTGCGTTTAACATCCACACCACACAAACTAGGTCATTTCGGAACTAACATATGGTTCAATTTTATTTCAATAATTCGCTTGGGCGTACAGGTCTTTAGCAGTGGGAGGAAACCGGAGGACCCGGAGAAAAGCCACGAGGTTGGACAGGCGACCCTACTCCTTGTCAGATACAATCCAGCACTGTAAAGACCTCCAGTTGAATCAATGGCAGACCTTATGACAGAGTGTGCACGATCAAACCATTTGGCCGTCCAACCCCCCAACATCGGAATAATGTGTAGGCTAAATTATAGACAATACAGGATAAATGCGCCCCCCCACCCCCCAAAAAAACACACAGAGCAAATGATTGGGAAATATACAGCAGAGAGTACTGTTCATCTAAGAGAAAATACGATATTGAGAAGGGCAATGCGGAAAATATTTAATGAAAAAATGACATTTTCATTAAGCTCTCAAAGGGAATAATTTTACCATTTGAACAATAAATATGACTAGGTTGCCAGACAACTTCACAAAGGTTGTCACATAGTTTTCTTTTGTTAGTAATGAAACCATTTACAACACACTAAAATCTGATGAGTAAAAACATTATTAGAATGTTTGACTCCTAGTTCTTCCCTATACTAACATTTAGTATACAAAACATTTAATATCTAGGACCATAACCCTGGAAGTAATTATGAGAGGATTCTTCATCTAATGATCTTAAAAACTGTGTATTTATTTAAAGATACATTATGTAAAATTTAGATAAAGAGCTGACCATTCTTGCTATACTAGTTCAAAAATAGATAATGCAAAATGACTATATTGAAATTTCATTCAAATTACTTTATTCTGAGCCAAGTTGTCAATGTTTGTAGTTTTGACAAGATGTGTGCATTATTGTAACCACGGTACTTGTAAATTCAAGGCAAGATTTTTCAAAGTGATCAAGGGCCATAACTCTGGCAGTAATTGGATATTAACTTTAGCAGACATAAATCAAGACAGTAATTATTGGAAATCCTTGAAAATTAATAGACTTTTCCGTCTTATGACCTGAAACACTGAGTATAAATGTTAAGTCAATCGGATATTAAAATTAGCCTCTACAGCGTCAACATTTTTTTCAAAGTGATCAAAGGCTATCTGGCAGTAATAATTGGAAATCCTTCACAGATATTAACTTTAGCCTCTAGAGCGTACATAAGCAATTGTGGATGCCAGCCAGACTTTCGATTGCCTACACTACATGAAGATCTGACCGATTGTACTGGAAGGTCGTGTAAGGGGTCGTTCAAGCGGCTTTTGACCCTATGATATCAGATGTTGATCAATCAATCAGCGTTGATGTTTCTAGTGGTTTACCCACAGTTCCGTGCATCGCACGCCAAGAACTCGCCGTAACAGACCGTTTTATTGGCTAATCCCTCACTTAGGGAGCATAAATGTTAAGTCAATTGGATTTTAAATTTAGCCTCTAGAGCGTCAACAATTTTTTCAAGGTGATCAAAGGCTATAACTCTGGCAATAATTATCGGAAATCCTTCATCAGATATTAACTTTAAACTCTAGAGCTTGCACAAGCAATTGTGGATGCCAGCCAGACTTTCGATGGCCTGCACTACTAGAATGTCATGTCAGGGGTTGTACGAGCGACTTTTGACCCTAAGATGTCAGATGTTGATCAATCAATCAGCGTTGATGTTTCTAGTGGTAACAGACCATTTTATTGGCTAATCCCTCACTTCAACCAGAACCCCAGTAATATAACAACTCTTCCAGATCCAAGTGTAGTAAGGAAAAGTAAAACAAAATTTTGAACTATAAAAAAACGAAACGAAATAGGCTCTGTGTTTTAATCAGATAGGGGCAATAATAATATGACCAAATTTCAATGTAGTTGTTTTTAAAAAAATGAAAAGTGATTACAAATAAATGTAGGAGGTTGAAATAAGGGATATGTGATATGTGTCATATTTATTCAAAATGTCATATATATAAGTAAAATTCAAGTATTAGAGAAAAAACACTAATACTTGAATTTTACTTATATGTTTAACTGAGAGATCATTTTATATATTTTTATATAAAATACCCCATTATACATTAAAAAAAGATGGATGTGTTTAGTTACCTTGCTAGCTGTAAAAACAGATTGATATCGCGCTTTAAGTTGAGCAACTCGAGTTTGTGGTGCTGGGTCTTTAACTTGTTGGGATTTCTCTTCCACTTTAGCCATCATATCTTTATGTGCAACAATATCAGCATGCAAGGCCTGAATTAACGAGAAATGTTATTTTTTTTTTTAAAATTCTAACTTCTAGACAAAGATATCAAACAGCTTAACCGTTTAAGAACAATTTAATAAACGCTTACATGAACTTTTTAAGACATGATGGTTAAAAAGATTTTTGATCAGTTTTAACACGACAGCAGGTAAACCACAGAATTATCCCAAAATCAATTCTTGTCAAATATATATTACCTTGTATTTTTCGAGTGTTGATCTTTTTTCAGGAAGGTCAGTTTTTAGATCAGGATCAGCTGTCATACGATGTTCAACATCTGTTAACCAATCATGTAGCTGATCTTGTAAGCGATCATAGTCTCCCCAGTAGGACAGAGCATTCTCCAAGTTGCGTTTTGCCTGTGACATGTCTGTCAATAAATTTTCATACTCCAATTTAGCTTTTTCCGACTCCTGCCGAATACTTTGACAGCCTCTGGGGTTAGTACTAGGTAATGTCTTTTCTGATGCATCTAACATGGCTCTGAGATAGCTATGTCCTTGATCCATAGCATTCTGAATTTCCTTTAAAACATAAATGGTAACCTACATTAGAATTTTTAAAAGATAGGTTGCCAGACAACGAAACATACGCCCACAGCTGCTAAATCGTCCAGGCAGTCAAGAACAGTTGTTGCATATTTTTACTTTTTCAGTAATGCAACATTTATAATACACTAAAATCTGATTAAGGGTAACAACTCATTAAGTAATTATCAGAAAATCATTAGAATTTGGTTTTTTATAAATTTCTGCCCCATGCTAACGTTTAGTATACGAAATATTTAATATTATGGATTTAGCTGTTCAAGTTATCAAAATTCATTGAAAATCAATCTGAAGTCAATCGGATGATAACATAAGCCTCTAGAGCGTCACAAGATTTTTCAAAGTGATCAAGGGCCATAACTTTAGCAGTAATTATCGGAAATCGTTGAAAATCAATAGGATTCTTCGTCTCATGACCTTAAACACTGCGTATAAATTTAAAGTCTGGCATTAATTATTGGAAATTGCTATGAAATCAATAGGCTTCTTCGTCTCATGACCTTAAACACTGTGTATAAATTTTATGTCAATCGGATATTAACTTTAGCCTCTAGAGCGTCCACAAGGGCGTGATCAAGGGCCATAACTCTGGCAGTAATTATTGGAAATCGCTGAAAATCAATAGGCTTCTTAGTCACATGACCTTAAACACTGTGTATACATTTAAAGTCAATCGGATATTAACTTTACCCTCCAGAAGATTTTTCAAACTGATCAAGGGCCACAACTCTGGCAGTATTTATCTGAAATCACTGAAAATCAATAGGCTTCTTCGTCTCATGACCTTAAATAAAACACTGTGTATAAATTTAAAGTCAATCGGATATTAACTTTAGTCTCAAGACTACTCGAGTGTCCACAAGATTTTTTGAAGTGATCAAGGGCCATAATTCTGGCAGTAATTATCCAAAATCGCTAAAAATCAATAGACTTCATCGTCTCATGACCTTAAACACTGTGTATAAATTTAAATTCAATCACATTTCAATGTGCTCGTATAAAAATCAATATATTCCACATATATATGTATCCAAATCTTACATCTGATTTTGAAATCTCAGAATTTGATTTCAGCTGGGAATGGAGGCTACATGGGAACTATGATTAAAGTCATTACCGAACATCTCTTTTCAGGGCTCGAATTTGGCCGCAGATTCCTAACTGATTTTTAACTATCCACTGCAATGTATGGTCGCCGATGATATAGTAATACTTTCAATAGGGCTACATGCTGATTTTTTATATTTTTTCAGAATAAAAAATTGTACTAAAAACGGTATGATGAGAATTCTATTTTTTTGCCCCCTAACTGTAAACATGTAAGGATACATTATTTTTTGTAAAAGAAAAAATAAAATATTGAACTGTAAACATGTAAGGATGCATTATTTTGTGTAAAAGTAAAAAAAGTATTGAATGTTGAGCGTGATGTAATAGTCAGCTAAATAAATGATCTCAATTCTTTCTTACCGCCACCGTTAATATACTGATTTACAACATATAAATTATAAAAATTTGTCATATTGTATTAACTACGGACAACTGTCATAGATAATTATAAATACATGATGTCAACATTGTATTCCTCTACAGCTGACATCGCCATCAATCCCATAAAACAAAAGCCTATTTATTACAGAAAACATGTCAGCGAAATAAAAGAAACAGCAGAAAGGCCTATTTGGTCATGTGACTTAGCTTCATGGATAGAAAGTGCCTGGAATGTGTGAAATAAATCAACGAGAATATACACCCATTGGCTGAAAATGACCGAATTTCACCTAAAATTGGCCTTCGTGGGTCAGTTCACGTATGAACAGATGCGATTACAGTTCAACCCATTTCCACTTGCAAATTCAGTGGTACAGTCAAAGGTCGGGAAAGAGCGCCAATCCATTATTATTAGTTTTTTGGGTTATTGACACAATAAACCTGTGCTTACATCAAACTGATCCAATCTAATGTTGACATTTTCTCTATTACCACGATTATCTTCCACTGTTTTAATTTTTCTTTTAGTATCTTTCAACCAATCAGTGAAGACTTGATGATTGTCTTTATATGTCACATGATTATTGTAATGATTTTCAGTAGAGTGAACAAGATCCTGAAAATAAAGCAATGATAACGTTAATCCATAAATTCCCCAATACATGAAACAGGGTAATGTTTTTCTGAGTCCTGACTTCATAAAGAGAGAGAGAGAAATGGGGTTTAACATCCACTCAATACAAACTAGGCCATTTCAGGATTAACATATTTTATTTCAATAATTCGCTTGCGTGTAGGGGTCTTTAGCAGTGGGAGGAAACCGGAGGACCCAAAGAAAACCCATGAGGCTGGACATGCAACCCTACTCCTTGTCACCTACAACCACGCCAGTTGACTCAAAAATAGACCTAATGATACAACGTGCACACACTAACTATTCAGTCACCCAACCCCAAGAATAATTATTTTACCTTAGCTAGAGCTATTATAGACTGATATCTGGTAGTAAGTTGTGTAATAGCATGACTAGTTTTAGCATCAGCATTTGTCTGCAATAGAGCCTGGGCTTTCTCACTGACATCATCTAATGAAGACTGATAAGATAACACTTCATCCAAATGATACTGAAAAAAAATATATAAAAATCTATAGTCTTATTAAAAATTTTAATTTTCATTTGATGTATTTACATATTCAATTTTATTCCATATATACAAACTTTAAATGGTGATATCTGGAAAGAGCCTTACAAAATTAAACTTTAGAAAATATTATATAAATATATGTTAAAAAGTTGGAAATGCATTTTATTACTCAATTGATATTTTCCATTTCTTAAAACCAGTACATTCATACCTGGTATTGAGTCCACTGTTGTTTCTTTTCTTCAGCTGTAGCCTTATATTCTAGCTCAGCTCTAAGTGTAGCTTCTGTATGTTTTAACCAGCTATTGAAATCAGTATAACTACGTTCAAAATCTTCCCATCGGGAATAACAGGTGTCAAGTTCAGATTGAGAATGAAGTAATTGGTTGCGAAACTCTTCAAATTCTTTATTCATAGACTGAATTTCTTGTCTTATTTTGGTTTGACCAGAAGGAGATGTACTGGTTAATGTAGCTTCACCAGCTATAGTTGCTTGCTTTAATCTTTGTGTTCCTTCATTCAAACTTGTCATCAAACTCTGAAGATTAATATAAAATATTACTCGGTGGGTAATTTTGAAAGTAACTCCTTGAATTTTTCATAAAAAAATTAGAGTTTGTTTAAGCAAAATATCTATTGACTACAAAACAGTTCTCATCTGATATTTATCAGAAGGCCTACAAGCAAACATCTTAAATCAATATATTTATCACTTACAATTTTCAAAGAAACAAACAATATAAAGCAATAAATTATTTTTTTTTAAACATTTGCAATTTTAATATTTTGTTTACCTTTGAGCGCTCAATCTTGCCTTGAATAGATGTTTTCTCTCCAAATGTATCTGAACACGAAGCATGTTTCTCTCTTGCTGTACGGATCCATGAATTAAAATTATTACAGGCATCATGGAAATCTTGGTGATTAGCTACAAACTGTTCATTTTTAGCTAGAAGATCCTGAAATAAAACCATATCAAATTAGTTACTGGTATACAAATCCATCTGGGTGAAGTTCACAGCCAAAAATCTTAAAACATCCATCATTTTCCCGAATCAGAAGGGCTTCTATTTCTGGATCTATCTAGTAAGATACCCATCAAGCTTGAGATACCCATTCCACCACTGATGAGATAAATCTGTCTTTCTATAAATATGTTCAAGACAAAATAAAGACATAAAATTGACACAGACCTTTGCTTGCTCTTTCAGCATATTATATTTTGATGCTAATGTAGATGTATCTGTGCCAGTTCTAATGGAAGCTGTAGGTTCTAATTCCACAGCTTTACTTCCAACAGAATCAATCATCTGTTCATATGATACTATATCCTGATAAACAACCTAGAAAATATTTAAATTCAAACATAAGTTCAACATTATCAACTTGAGGTAAAATATTGCACATCTATAGAAATTGTACAGATTTTACATCATAACATAAATTTATGGAACTTGATACAGCACTATTAATTATTATGAATGTCGAAATATCATGCAAATAGTTATTTATAATTTAAAATATTTTATCTTGAATGTTTAAAGAATTACAAAATCTAGTTTACCTTAATTCTCTGGAGTTCGGCTCGCTTTTCTCCAAGATCACCCTTAGATTGTGAGCTCTTAAGACGTTTTTCAGTTTCTTTAAGCCATTTCTGGATTCCCTCTAAACTGGCATCAAAATCTGTCCATTGTAGCAGACGAGCTTCTAGCATGACTTTAGTATCAGTGACATCAGATATAAGACTCTCCCATTCTTGTTGTAGATACTGAAGTTCTTGTCGTATAGTCTCTCTACCCTCTCCAGACGTATTGTTCATAGTTTTCTCACCCCAATTATTGCTTGTATGAATTAATAGTTGACCTTCTTCCTTCATTACAACAAATTCCTAAAAACATGTTCAAAATTTTGGGATCTCAATTTTGGTTCAATACTTGCAGAAAGGCAAGAAAAAGTTTTTATTAATTGATACAAATTCAATTTTAATTAAAGAACCTAAAAAAATTGATCTTTCAGAGTGAGGTAAATATCATTTTTGATTATCATTTATTACTTTAAAACCAAAGTACAGTACCTTAAGTTTATCTATTTGTGACTGTATCATATATTTATCCCCAGTAGTATCAGAACAAGCTGCTAGTTTCTCCCTAGTACCATGTAACCATGATGATGTTTCATCATAAACTTTACAATATTGACTGTGATCAGCATAATGTTGTTCATATCGTTTTAATAGATCCTGTTAATAGGGAGAATATATATGATTTATTATTCCTTTATACATGTATTAGAAATATTCATAATTAATTCAAATAATTTGGAAACATCTTGATGTAAGAGAACTATATAATAAAAAAATAAAAAAATGTTTCCTGGGTTGTCACACACTGTCAATGTCTCAATTTTCACTCACTCATCTATAAACTATAAAGTTTATGTTTGTATTTGTATCTTGAAAGACATTGATTTGCCCAGTTTCTCTTCCCAATAATATTATGCAGAATAAAAAGGATGCACATTTTCATTACTTTAAAACAGGTTTTTTTATTTGCTTTTCTCAAATTATTTTTGTATTTCAACATTATACTACTAACCTTAGATTGTGATATTAAACTGGAGTATCTAGAATTGAGTTGTGTAACTTGTGTTGATAGCCGTGTATCTGCTGATTTCTGCATTAACAACTGTGCCTGTTCAGCAAGGTCATCAAAATCCCCCTGTTTATCAAATATATCATCTTGAAGGGCCTGTATATATACAAAATTACAACCATTCAATATTCAAAGGTGAATATAAAGATAAATTGGCCGTTGGCCAAATTAAAGCAAGGTTATATTTCAAAAACTGAATTTGGTTTATCAACATAGACATACCTTTTGTGTAAGAACATGAACATTTTTCTGGTCTAAAGTTGTGCACAGTTCAGCATCAGCTTTCATTCTGGTTTCAATATCTTTAATCCATTTACTTAATCTATCATAGAACTCTTCATAATTTTTCCATTTCCCACTCAAATTAGCTACAGCAAAATATTTTTTAAAATTACTAGTGTCATGAAGTAACGAGAATACAGTTACAAAAGGAAATCATATTTATGCACTTTATTGCTAAAACAAAAAGTCAATCAACACAAATATATACATACATAATATATGCTTTCAATTCTCAAATATAAAGGCCCCAAACATATTATCAATAAATGTACTTACAAAGTGAAGCCAACACAGAACTGAGGTCAGCTTGAAATTGATCAAAGTCTTTGGTAAGTGAATCAAGTTCTTCTTTTATAAGGTTTTGGCCCTGAGTTGAAGTTTGAGGTAAAACAGTTTGACCTTTTGCTAGCACCTGATCTAATTTCTTCTTTCCTACTTCACTTGTTAAATTAATATCCTATAATAAAATATGACCAAATAAACAAAATCGCAGGCAACCCACTGAAAATTATGAATAATTTTCGGATTATTCATAAATTATTGTTTACTGGTACAAGACCAATTGTATGATAACCATAATGACAATTTTATAATTACTTCAAGTCTTCCTTCATGGAAAAATAAATAAAATGAAATGGGGGTTTAACATCCGACTATTCTGCACCAACTGGACTAGTGAAGATGAACCAAAAGAAATAAGAAATGAGAAATTATGATGACTTACTTGTACTTTATGTACTTGTGCTTCTACTACTGTTCTATCACCTCTTACATCACTACAAACATTTAATCTATCAACTGTACTAGTTAACCAATCAGCTGATTCCATATATACATCACGATATATCTGGTGATCTCGTACATATTTCTCTCGTGTTTGGAGTAAATCCTGTTAAAATATACAATGAACAAGAATTAATATTTAATACCAGATTATTTGATTGTCTGGTTCATAAGGAAACATGTGGATTATTTCAACTCGAGTCTACAATTATTAAATCTGAAATACTGTACAATGATCTGTAGCAAACGAATGGAGTTCAAGTTCTTCACAAGACGTTCGTAGGTCATTTACTTTGTCAATTTTTTTTTCTCTATAATTTTTGTGAAAAGAGAACATTTTATTTGGTCTACTTATCTTTGTAAGAGGCTTTTGCTAGTTCTCATTGTAGTTAGGATATAATTACCTTGACTTCTTGTCGAAGTTTATCGTATCTTTGAACAATATCTTTGATCTGGTTACCAAGATTACTATCGCGACTAATCTGTTTTAATGTCTGTGCTTTTTCGTTCAAGTTATCAATAGTACTCTGTTGGGCATTGATGTTCAGTTGAAGAACCTTAAATAATAAAAAAAAATATATTCGTGAATCTTTTTCCGGGTAAGTCATTTCAAATCTGGACAAAATGTATTTAAAAGAATTTCCCAAAAAACGTCTAAAATAATATATAACTCAGAGGAAATTGAAAATAGAGTAAAAATAAGAATTCAAGGCGAAAATCAACTAAATAAAAAATCATCAATCATCACACCTTCAATGGCTTGATTACATCACAATTCTACATCCATCACAAGCGTTATTGGGACAAGCAGAGCTGTGACGAGATTTAATCCTGAGTTACTTGATTGTAATTCTGTCAATTCAGAGGACTGTCTATCAAGCAATCTTAGCTAGTCACATACATAAAAGAAGAAAGTGATCACAAACCATTTTTGAAGATATTAAAGTGAAATAATAATGACAAATGTTGAACTGACCTTAATTCTTTCCAGCTGAAGTTTCTTCTCTTGAAGTGTATTTTGAACCTGGGATTCTGTGTACACCTGATTCTCTAAGTCATGTAACCATCTTTCTAACTGTTCTGTACTATCATCATAGACAGTCCACTGAGATAGACAGCTATCTTGTCTTAGTTTTGTATCATTGAGATCAGCTGATAGGGAATCATATTCTTGTTGTAGAAGTTGCATCTCACGCCTCATATTATCACGACCCGTAACTGATGTATTAGGTAAAACAACTTGAAGATTATCCAGTGAAATTTGTAACATATGTAATCCTTCTTCTTTCTCTACCATGAGTTCCTAGTAAATAAATCACAGTATGATATTTGAAATAATCTGTACAAGTATTATGGACAAGTTTGAAATGTGTACATGAATTTGGTTCGGCTATGTGGAATCATGTTAAACCTGGTTCTTATCTTACAAGCCGTCTTAATTTGAATTGGAGAAATTTGGGTATTCTACCAAAAAAATGCTGTGCTGAGTTTATGAGTAAAGACTATTGTAATCTACAGTAGGTCGTAAGTTTTAATCCTAAAGTCTAAAATTCTAACTTTTGTTTTTCTTCAACAATTTTATCTTAATAGAATTACCTGTACTCTAGCTAATCTTTGTTGTAAAGTTTGTTTATCACCACTGGTCTCTGATACATCACTGACTTTATTCCTCATTTCAACTAACCAACTCTTACACTGATCTAATGAACTATTATATGCTTGATGATCTGTAGCATATTGTTCCCATCGTCGTATTAGTTCCTACAAACAAAATATATGTTAATCTAACCTTATTCACCTTTGCAAAATTACACTATGCTGTAATTTGCATCAATATTAACATTCATAAATCATTAATTGAAAAGGCACAGAGGGGTCTTTAGTAGTGGAAGGAACTCATGACAAAACACTTAACTCAAAAGATATAATGATCAAAAGTACATGCTTTTGACCACTTGGTCACTCCCTTTAACCTATAAGGAATAAGAACTGAATGTTAAAATAAATCTTACCTTAATATTAACATTAAGAGTTTGATATTTAGTCGATAGTTGTGAAGCCTGACTAATAACTCTGGTGTCAGTACTTAATCTCAATAAATCTTGGGCAGAGTCACTTAATGAGTCCATATCTCTTTGTCGACTGTTTATATCTTCTTGTATAGTCTGTAATTACACCAAATAAAAATGTCAGGCAAATTAATTACATCTGGCAGCAGCAAAGCCCCAGATTTATTATCAACAATGCAGCAGAGAATCAACCACGAACTCTGTACCAAGCTTTAAAAGTCAAAATTTGACAGGATTTCTCCTTATGCTCTAATGAACAATGTCAACAAGTTTTACATATTCTGTTGAGAACCTTCGAACATAAAGGGGACCACTTATGATTTGAGAAGAAAAATTCTGAATTTCAACAGGGCTTTTCTTTGATTTCAGGTGAATAAGTCCACCACACTTTAAAAGATAGGACGCCAGGCAACGAAGCAAACATAAGTCACCTGAGCAGTCCATAAAGGTTGTCGCATTGTGAATATTCAGTTAAATACAAAGTAAAGCAAAACCTTAATACTTTATTGATGCCCTGACAAGATTCTATGATAGAAAACAAAGTGCAATTATCAGAAAACACATTGATCACAACAATTGTACAAAGAACATAAATCTAAAATGGATCAGATGATGACTTTTGCTGTTAAAGCATTCACAAGTTTCTACAAAGACAGCAAGCACCTGAATTCAAAAAGTAATTGACAAAAGTTGTAGAAATTCAATTGTATTAGTCTGAACAGTACATATATACATGTCAAGTCAATCTGTAACTTCCCTTGCTAAAGTGTTCATAAGAACTTACAGAGTACCAGGTTAATTTCAAGATTTTTGATTGAAAAGTCATGAATTTTGATAGGCTTCTTCTTTAGGCCAAATGAACAATTTAATTTGAGGGTATTGGAAATACCTTAAGTCTTTCTAACTGGATTACTTTTTCTTTCATTGTAGCTTTGAGATCTGTCTCTCGCATCTTAACTTCTGTGTCTTTAAGCCAGTTAGCACATTTTTCATGCCAATTTTCAAACTCTTTCCACTGATCCATACATTTCTCAAGATCATTTTTAGTCTGAAAAAGAAAAAGATAAACCTTAGAGTTTCTTCATATAATATAAACAATTTGGGACTCACAATTAAATTTGTTTCTTTCAGGCTATTAGGTCACAGTATGGGAGATTTTCATCTGTACATAACCACTTAATCAGATGTATCAAAATTTCCAAAAGATAAGGAAATTAGATATTTACCTTAACTAAAGCTGTCATGAAAGCCTCCCAATCTTCACGTAAAGCATCAGTTTCTCTAACTATAATATCTTTACCCTGGGGAGCAGTATTGGGTAATACTCTCTCAGCTAAATTTATAACATTCTTCACTTTTGGTTCACCTTCCATCTTAGTAGCCAGAATATCCTGAAAGACGCAAAGAAAAATAAGTACATGGAACTGCGAGTAATATGCTGTGCACACAATTATACTAAATTAAACAAGCCAACAGTGAGGCTGATGTCCCCCGCCGAAATTGCAAAATAAATAGATGACACATATTAATTAATCGCACATTTATTTTTTTCACTAAGTTTCATCACTCTCTATCAGATAGAATCAAGATTATCTTGTCCCAAACCATCGACAAATGAAATCGATTAGCTCTGCTTAGCTTCAGCTCGAAATGTTAATTATTGAACTCAGTCAAGACATTCACCTAATGAACATCTACATATACATCAAGTTTAAACATTCACCTAATAGACACCTATGCCAAGTTTGAACATTCTACCTCAATTAGAAGGAGAGTTATTGTGTTCCAAAGTTTCTACCAATCAAATTGCTTACCCTCAGCAAAAAATGTTCATTATCGAACTTAGTTAAGGTATTCATATAATAAATCTATACACCAAGTTTCATCAATCTCACTTAATTAGAACTAAAGTTATCGTGTCCCAAAGCATCAACCAATCAAATTGCTTATCACTCTGCTTACCCTCAGCAAAAAATGTTCATTATCGAACTTAGTTAAGGTATTCATATAATAAATCTATACACCAAGTTTCATCAATCTCACTTAATTAGAACTAAAGTTATCGTGTCCCAAAGCATCAACCAATCAAATTGCTTATCTCTGCTTACCCTAAGCGGAAAATGCTCATCTTCGAACTCCATCAAGGCATTGACCTAATCAACACATACACCAAGTTTGAACATTCTAGCTCAATTAGGAAGAGAGTTATCGTGCCCCAAAGTATCAACCAATCAAATTGCTTATCTCTGCTTACCCTAAGCGGAAAATGCTTCTCTTCGAACTCCATCAAGGCATTGACCTAATAAACACATACACCAAGTTTGAACATTCTAGCTCAATTAAAAGTTGTCGTGTCCCAAAGCATCAACCAATCAAATTGCTTATCTCTGCTTACCCTAAGCGGAAAATGCTCATCTTCGAACTCCATCAAGGCATTGACCTAATCAACACATACACCAAGTTTGAACATTCTAGCCCAATTAGGAAGAGAGTTATCGTGTCCCAAAGCATCAACCAATCAAATTGCTTATCTCTGCTTACCCTAAGCGGAAAATGCTCATCTTCGAACTCCATCAAGGCATTGACCTAATAAACACATACATCAAGTTTGAACATTCTAGCTCAATTAGGAAGAGAGTTATTGTGTCCCAAAAAGTGTGACGGACAGACAGACGGACAGACAGAAGGACAGACAGACGGACAGACACCCATTTTAATAGTCCCCTGCTTTCTTCGAAAGGCGGGGGACAACAAATTCAATAAATTATAAATATCTTGGAGCAATCCACTGTCTATGTGTGCATTTTAATAATAATCCCCCCCCCCCCCACACACACACAAAAAAAATAGTGTAATCTATATTTTGGAAGCAAATAGATGTTAGTTTTCTACTGTTTCAGTGTCTTATACAAATTTCACCATAACACCAACAGCATTCATTTATTTTTCAAAATAAAATAATAGATAACAGCTTATTGTAACATGGATATTTTTTTCATAAATCAAAATTTGCTATTCCACATATACTGTAAAAACAAGGAATTTATGCATTAGGAAATTAAGGTTAAGTGACAAATCAACATATAAAATGTGTATTTTAATTATTGTGATCAAATTCTTGATTCTTTCTTCATTGCTATGTTATCAAGGATATAAATCATGATTTAAATAATCAACATTGATTTTGTTTTGTGTCATGTTTGATGTAACCACTATTGTTAAAGGTTCCAGAAAAGAAATATATGTTGGAAGTTGGAAATGATGCGCTTGGAGCTTTCTTGTATTTGTTGTAATTTAAAACACTCACATTATTTTCTTCTTTTATAGTACATATCTATTTTGTTTCTATGTACTTATACGTGATATGAGATTAAATGATTATGGTAAACAAACCATGCTATAGGCTTATAAATTTATCAAAAGGGTGAAAATCACACACAGGTGCATGCTAAACTCAATGGTGTACAACATCTAGATATAAGCCGTATTCATAAATGATTTATGACATATAGTGTTAACATAAGTCAATGTTTAAAATTATTAATTATAAGTATTTAATAATCAGATGTTAAACTACAATTTGTCTAGATATAAATACCGGTATACAATGTCTGAACCACTAAAACACAATATTATTTGAAATATAGACAAATTTATTATCTACATACTTTTTTTGTTATTACTTCATTTCTTAAGTATGATTTTCCTACAGATTTTAGTCTAATATTATTAGTTTAGTGCCCATAATATATAAAATCTTAAAATCACTATAATCTTATATGAATACTAAAATGTGGAAAATAAGGAACACTCTGCAAGCAATCTGATTAATATACAGATCTATATTTCGTTTCGTTTTTTATACTTTCGATGACCTACACTACATAAAGATCTGACCGGTTGTTGCGATAGGTCACGTCAGAGGTCAAACTAGCGGCAAGTGAGCCTATGACGTCAGACATTTGATTAACCAATCAGCATTAGTGTTACTAGTCAATTACCCACAGTTCCGTGAAAAACACACCTAAAGCTCGTAACAAACCGTTTCATTGGCTAATACCTCACACTATTCAGAACACGTCAATGATAACAACTCTTCCAGATCCTAGTGTAGTAAAGACAAGTGAAACGAAATTTTGAAGTGTTAAACAACAAAACGAAATAGGATCTGTGTTTTAATCAGATTGACTCTGCAAGTAGCTGCAATATAACATTTCTTATAAATAGCATTGCCTAAACTATCTATTCATCAGTGAAAAATGAATATTATTTGATTATGATATATGAAAATTAAATAAAATATATTAAAATCTATATATAATAACAGAAATTCTATCAAGTAACTTACACAGCGGCGCTATTTAAAAATAAAATTAAAAGCCAAATAAATCTAAAATTTTAACAACTTTTTATGCACTGAACAACAAAGAAGCAAGAGAAACAAAACTTCTGTAAAATTATTGGATTGATAATCTAACTTATTTGAAGCCCTCATAAAATACAAAATAAATCAATACAAAAGTGAAAAATAGGTTGCCAGGCAACGAAACATACGCCCACAGCAACTATATCGTCCGGGCAGTCAACAAGAGTTGTCGCATATTTTTACTTTTTTCGGTAATGAAACATTTATAATACACTGTGTATAAATTTAAAGTCAATCGAATATTATTTTTTGCCTTTAGAGCATCCAAGAGATATTCTGAAGTGATCAAGGGCCATACCTCTGGCATTAATTATCGGAAATTGCTGAAAATCAATAGGCTTCTTTGTCTCATGACCTTAAACTCTGTGTATAAATTTAAAGTCAATCGAATATTAAATAATAGGATTCTTCGTCTCATGACCTTAAACACTGTGTATAAATTTAAAGTCAATCGGATATTAACTTTGACCTCTAGAACGTCCACAAGATTTTTTGAAGTGATCAAGGGCTATAACTCTGGCAGTAATTATCGAAAATCGCTGAAAATCAATAGGCTTCTTCATATCATGACCTTAAATACTGTGTATAAATTTAAAGTCAATCGGATATTAACTTTAGCCTATAGAGCGTCCACATGCAATTGTGGACGACGGACCGACGGGGGCGACAACAATATACGACCACATTTCAATGTAGCCGTATAAAAATCAGTATGCAACTCTCAAAAACTTTGTCTGAAAAACTATCTAAAGGCATTCAAACTAATTCCATCACCAATTTCAATAGATTATTTAAGAATTTCTTATGCACCAACCTGTATTTTGTCAAGTCTATTTTGTATAGCATGACGATCACCAGAGACATCTGCACAAGCTGAAAGTTTTTCACGGATACCATTTAACCATTCAACACAGATATTATAGGCATCATTATATTGTTGATGATCACTGACTATATCTTCGTATTGTTGTACATAATCCTGATAAATTTAAGTCAAATATCAATTATACCCTTCATAACATCAGTTGCTGGAGCAAGAAATAAACAGCTATGTTATCAGTACTATTAAATGTGGGTATATACAATAAATAAAAATAGATCTTCAAAGTCATAGCAGAAAATCTTACCTTTGATATAGAACATAGTTTTTGGTATCTGGTACTGGTTTGTGATATAAATCTAGAAAGATCAGATTCAGGACTGCTCTGAGCTAGAGATTGAGCTTTATCGCCAATACTTTCTATAACACGTTGATATGATAATACATCTTGATGCACAGACTGTAAAACAAAACGTTTACATATACATTTTTATATGTTTAAATTTTGTAAACTCAATACATTAAGGCCACACATTATTTTGACTTTGAACACAATCTTATAAATTACATGTATAGTACCCTTAATTAGATTGGCTAATTCAACATTTTCACAAACATTTTTACTAGCCTTAACATTTCAAAGTGACTTACCCTGAAGTTCTGTAACTGTGTTTTCTTTTCTTCTAATGTTGATCTCAATGGCATTTGTCCCTGTAACTGAAGTTCCATATCTCGTAACCAATTATCAACTTGACTGTTACTATCATCAAATGAAGTCCATTGTACAAGTGACACTTCTAGCTTACGTTGTGAGGCTGACAAATCATCATATAAACCTTCAAATCCTAGTTTCAATTTACGTAATTCTTGGCGTATGTTTTCACGTCCATCAGGAGCTGTGGTAGGATATAATCGTTCACCAGCTTCAATAACCTGGTTTAATTTAGCAAATCCTGAATCTCTATCTCGGATTAAATCCTGAAAAATGACCAATTCAGAAAATTTTAACATAATTGGACATTGTCAAAATTTGAATAATATCAAATAACCTTTGACTCTTTCTTACTGAAACACTGACCTATGTACTGGTAGATTACAATAAAGTATTTAGTGCAAGCATTTGTTAAGCTACACCAGTACTTAAAAAACACAAAACTGTGTTGACAATAAAATTTGCCTTAAAGATGGGTTCCCAGAAAAGTAATTATTGGGTGGTTATTTCCAATAAAAGTATGGCAATTTTGGTATATATGGAAAGTAGAGATATCCAATCTTACTAGAAAAATACTGGATTCCCCGAAAAACACTCATGGGACGTATACAGCAGGGCTGTCGGTAATTTTTCACAGTTGATTAGCAGCACTGCTAATCAAAAAGTCCAATTTTGCCAAATTTGATTAGCAAATTTAAAAATTGATTAGCAGTTTTTCAGTTTAAACGAAAACACCTAAATAACAAGATATTACTTTAATTCATAACAAATATGATTAGATTCCATTCTGACTATTCTTTAAATTCTTAGATTTTTTAGCACTGCCACAAGTACTTGTGACAGTTTGTGAATGTGATGTAGACATTTAGTTAGGTCTTATGTCTGAAGCCAATTCTTGACAGTAGCCAATTCTTGACAGTGACTTCCGAAGCCCCACTCATTTTAATTGTTATTTTTTGTCACGTTAGAAATCTTCGTTAGAAAACAATGTCTGCTTTTTATCATGTATTACTATTTTTGTTCAATCGGGCGCACCTCGATTAGCTAGACACACGCGATATAAACAATAATATTTTACGAGAATTTTTACTTTGATTTATCATTTTACAATACGTTAACATGTATTTATTTTTTTATATTTTATTTACAATGCGTGGGGGATACACTGGATTTATTTCTTTCAAAATGAATATGATATAATTACTTGATGTCTCGCAATGTGAGTGGTACTACTTGATTCCCTATTTCCGGTTTAATAGTCCCTATTCATAGAGTTATGTCCCTTTGTTCCTATTGTGTCTGGGTAGTTCGAGAAGAAAATGTCACGCGGAGAATTCAGTTTTGTTTATAAGATTTTATTCAACATTTTATACATGTTGAAAGTGTTGAGTAAGCCTTCTAGTCTTTAAAATGTGGATTTTTCTTGTGTCAATATCCAAAATGACAGGCATATTAATGATTCGCAGTAACTGCGATTCAAAAACGTTAGATTTTAATTTTTGGTTAGCAACGGACAAAATATGTATCGCAAATTGCGCTGCGATACTGGTTGTCGGCAGCCCTGGTATACAGGACAAAAATGTAAGGGTTCCCCTAATCAACAGCCCGACGATTAGGAACATCTGCACGCGTGATGTCAAAGATCACAAGCGAACATTGAGCGCTTGATGTACAAGTTGATAAACTTTATGAAAAGTTAGACGTACAATACTTTCTGAGATAAAAATGACGGAAAAAGACGCGGGTAGTGGATAATCCGAGAATTTAATTAGGATTCGATATTTGTAATAAATAGTAAGCGATTAAACACAACATCGTCTTATGTATGCAATGAATTCTCCTCTGACTCCCAAGACGTGACGTAAACATGACCTGGTTTGATCGAATTTTAATAGCAGGGCATTCCTTCGCAATTACAATGTTTGAGAAGGATTTGAAGCATAATTATGACAAATTAATTAGTTTGAATATGTTTTTGGTCCATATATACCATTTAATCACCCAGTTTGTACGCGGGAACCCATCTTTAAATTTGCATGTGCAGACTTTAAACGGATATCAAATCAACCATCCAAGAGTCTCAAAGTGCTAACGTACCTACATTATGAACCCGACTAGCACAAATGGAATGGTTTGACATCTTAATATGAAATGCAGGGTTAATTAGAAATAGGCTATACCTGAGTTTGTTCAAGGCTATCCTCTAATTCAGCTCTGGAACTACCAGCATCAGGACATTGGGCAAACTTATTTTTAGATTTAGTCAACCATTGATTACAATCAGAAAACTTTTCTTTGTATAATTTATGATCATCTACATTTTGTTCACATTTCTTTACATTTTCCTAGAAAAATAAAATAAATGATATATAATTGAAAAAAATATTTTCAGTAAAAGCTACTCTTTCAATCCAAACATTGAGTGTCAGAAACATTTCAGATTTACGTAAATCATCAAAATAAATACCTTAGAATGAGTGAGTAGAGTCTGATATCTGTTAATAAGTTGTGATACAAATGTTCCAACTCTAGCTTCATCAGTTAGATGTTGTAGGGTTTGAGCATCATCAGCAAATTTATCAACATCACGTTGACGACCCTTAACCTCTTGTACAATCTCCTAAAATTCATAAATCAGAAGGAAACATTAGATTGATTGCATATATATGTATACCTTTAGTTGTGATTGAATACTGAAATGGATGAACAATAAAAGTAAAACAATAAAATAAATCTATTATAAATGTAATGACAAAACTTGCTTATAAAAATGAATGATGATATGAAATGCAATATTATTATGTCAAATGTTTTGATAATCTCAAGTAAGATGTGTAACTTATATATCATAAGATTATAAACTATGAAGTGAAATGAAAATATATATAAAGCAAAGCAAAGTGATCTATATATAATAAGTGAAGCCATGCGATGATATATATGAATATAACCAAAATCTGAATCAAGTCTGATGTCCACCAACCAGTCTGTTATATGGGTCATTACATATAATTCAGCACACCTTTTCCAATAAGGATTGAAAAAGTCACTTTAAAATACACAAAACCAACCATTCTTCGAAATCTTTCAAAATTTTATATAGATCATGGAAACAATAGCAGTTACATTATTCAATATGCAAGGAATTATCCATTCATTATACTCATCCAGGGGTGGGGGGTGGTCCAACCCCCTACCCCCTTCTGCTCTGGTACATAAAAAATTTGTAAACAACACTTTTCATGAGAAAAGTGTCATGGTTGTGTGCTTTATCCTTTATCGTCATAGTAACCAGCGGTTGCCAGGCAAGATACACCCACATTTTGCAAGATATGGATATAGAACAAGCTAAAAGCGATTTTTCGTACAATCTGGGGCCATAATCCAGAAGTTATGGTCTGAAATGTGCAAATATCGAAAGGGACTGAGATCTTTGGGAGAAAACTCTATGTTTCAAGTTTTGTCATATTTAGATAAAAATTGTGACCTGTATAGTGTCCACATAATAGAGGGGCGATAGCATAATACGTCTACATGAAAATGTGGGTGTATAAAAAATTGACGTCAAACGGAGTGTTGGATTTCTCTCTTTAAAAAGCTCAGTGTGTATGTATATACGCCAAAATGACGATAGAGACAGGGCTGTCGGTAATTTTTCACAGTTGATTAGCAGCACAAAAGTCCAATTTTGCCAAATTTGATTAGCAAATTTAAAAATTGATTAGCAGTTTTTCAGTTTCAACGTAAAACACCTAAATAACAAGATATTACTTTAATTCATAACAAATATGATTAGATTCCATTCTGACTATTCTTTAAATTCTTAGATTTTTTAGCACTGCCACAAGTACTTGTGACAGTTTGTGAATGTGATGTAGACATTTAGTTAGGTCTTATGTCTGAAGCCAATTCTTGACAGTGACTTCCGAAGCTCCACTCAATTTAATTGTTATTTTTTGTCACGTTAGAAATCTTCGTTAGAAAACAATTTGTCTGCTTTTTATCGTGTATTAGTTTACTATTTTTGTTCAATCGGGCGCACCTCGATTAACTAGACAAACGCGATATAAACAATAATATTTTACGGGAATTTTTACTTTGATTTATCATTTTAAAATACGTTAACATGTATTTATTTTTTTATATTTTATTTACAATGCGTGGGGGATACACTGGATTTATTTCTTTCAAAATGAATATGATATAATTACTTGATGTCTCGCAATGTGAGTGGTACTACTTTATTCCCTATTTCCGGTTTAATAGTCCCTGTTCATAGAGTTATGTCCCTGTGTTCCTATTGTGTCTGGGTAGTTCGAGAAGAAAATGTCACGCGGAGAATTCAGTTTTGTTTATAAAATTTTATTCAACATTTTATGCACGTTGAAAGTGTTGAGTAAGCCTTCTAGTCTTCAAAATGTGGATTATTCTTGTGTCAACGAACAACATATGTATCGCAAATTGCGCTGCGATACTGGTTGTCGGCAGCCTTGGATAGAGAGAGAAATGGGGTTTAACGTCCACTCGACACAAACTAGGTCATTTCGGGACTAACATGGTTTAATTTTATTTCAATAATTCGCTTGCGCGTAGGGGTCTTTAGCAGTGGGAGGAAACCGGAGGAAACCGGAGAAAACCCACGAGGCTGGACAGGCGACCCTACTCCTTGCCACGTACAACCGGGGATTTGAAACCACACCAGTCGACTCAATGACAGACTTTATGATACAGCGCGCGCACGCTAACCATTCAGCCATCCACCCCCCCCTCCCCCTGGATAGAGACCACATATTTCTCAAAGATTTTCAAGGTCTGGGGGAGAGAACCACCTCGGATCACCCTACCCAAACAACTAAAGATACAGGTACCGTCTCAGGTGCCATCCTAACTCCCTAGTGCAAGAATTCCTGGATGCGCCCCTGGTTTATCTTCAAAAAGATGCCAACCATCAATTTTCATTAAAATCAGGCAATCTATTTGAGTCCCAGAGCATGTCTTGGAAGAACGGACATACCAAATTTAATTTTAGAAACAAGAGAACAATTAAGCAAAAATTTTACTCGCTGCAATGTCATTTTGGGATGGAAAATGATAGAAAAAAATGAAACTATGCAATGAAGACCAAATTAAAAAAGCTTCTACCATTACAAATCAGATAGAAGTATTATGAATGGTGAGGTAATTAAATTATGATGCTTCTAAAATTATGATTAACGCTTTGAGGAGGATGACACATAAAGTGTATATTATTCCCATTCTTGTTATAAACAGCCTTCATTCTATGTCATTCACCGTTATTATATTTTCTATAATCTTGTATAAGTCATGATTACTCTAGCATTATTATGAAATAATTAAAATAGAAAGTACAGCATTTTGCATTCATTAAATTTTCTATTAAAAATAACTGTAATTCCTTCAACCTCATGCTAAGCAATTCCATACCAAATGCCTTTTTATGCATTATTACTCTACATATATAGCAGACATTTTTTTAATTTTGGCGAAGTCTTACATAATCAAGTTTACAAGCTTCTTCCACCTGATTTTCTTCTAGAACAATATCTTCTACTATTTCCTGTTTATATTGCGATATAAATGTTAAAATATTCCATTACAATAATAATTCTAAGCTGAAATAAATGTTTACATAAATCTATCCTCACTAATTATTTTAACAATTTGGAAGATATTGTTTAATATTGTTTTCTTCAAAACATAAATGACAGATGAAGAGTGAAGATGGGTGCCATTGTGTGTATTATAAGAACAAGCTGTTTTTAATTTATTTCACAAACCCCTACTGAATATAATGTACTATGATGTGTTTCACAAAACAGATATTTATATTTGATAAATACATTTTAAACATACATTATGCAAGAGCTAAATCTGTCTATTGTAGGTCCTTCTTTAGGCCTGAAATGTTATCTAAATTATCAATTAGACATTAATTAACCTATCCAGACCATAATCAACTCTAGATGGCATCGCTAGCCTGCAATCTTTAATGAATTATGAGCCGATTTACTGCATAACTTTCCTTCACGATTTAACGATCAAATGGATAATCAAGACTATACTGTTTATGGTACTGACTTTAGTAATGATGATCGAGGCTAGGCGGAAATTTCAATCGCTTAGTTCTCGGTTCATAGTGGATCAATTTGAATGAAATTTTCAGCAAATTGCCTTTACATTATGCCTTAACTATTATCGTGAGAACTGCCAACTCGTTATCGAATCTCCATAATGTAAGCTTTAAACAAAATAAATTAATAATTAAAAAAAATTATTTCGGGGCAATTGACTTTTCCTGTTGCCGAGCACAACTATAATATTACAAAACCAATTCAATAAACATACAGTACCTGACATTTCCGTAACAATTCCTGTTTTTCATCTAGGGTAGATTTAGCTGGTACATCTTTCACCTGTCTTTCCATATCTTTAATCCATTGTGACATTTTAGCATAATTTTCTTCATAAAGTGTCCAGTAATAGAGAGCTTGTTCAAGACCATCTTTAAGAGAGTTGAGTTTGAGAGTGTAATCTTCCCAATCAAGACGTAATACATCTAGATCTTGTTGTATACCTTGACGACCTTTCAAAGCTGTGGTATTCATAGTATTCTCAGCATGATCTTCGCATTCTTTAATACGTGCAACACCTTCTGGTAAATTAGTTATCAATTCCTGATAACAGAAACAAAAGCATTTGTATCATACTTACTAGATATCTAAGTCTCATTTGAGGGATTTTTAATCCTGTGCAAACCAGAATATTGTGAAAGTCATATCTTAACTCTTAGAACCCGACTGGCTGGTTTTACGGCCAAGATAATAACATCTATATCCTGCTGGCTGGTTTTCTGGCCAAGCATGACGCATTAGGAATTCCACTCTGAACAAATGTTGTGTGTGGTGAGGCCTTTCCCCTCTTCCCTTGGTGATACTCTGGTATGACTCACTTAGAATTCCATCAAATCTAGATCAATCAGAACACATGTTACAATTTGGCGTCTGCAGTGAGGACTTCCCCTCTTCACTCGTAGACACGACACATATATTCCTGAAAATACTGCTTTATGGTCATGAATGGCAAACAGACCTGTATCAGTAGTCAAGGCACTGGCTAGAATACTAGAGTTATGCTGACAACTTGACTTTCTTAGTGAAAGTAGCGATGATAATGAATTTTGGACTTTTTTCTTTTTATTTGTGAACTGTGGCACTATGATGACAAATTTTGCCTTGAAACATCATATAACATGTATCAGAACTATTTTGCCTGGTAGCATGTGATCCATACTTGCATAATATCCCCTTTGTTGGCACTTTGGGTGATTAGCAATTTTACAGTATATATGCCAGGGTTCAACGGTTTAAAAATGGCTATCAGACCCAAAAATGGTTGAAAGCAGTTCAGTATTTACAAAGATATGCAGTATCCTCTACAAACACAGGAACATTTGCATGTTGTGACACATTTTTGGAAGGTTTGGTAGTTAGGTTTAACTTTTGAGTTTGTTATTGAGTACAAAAACCAGCGGTTGCCAGACAGGATACGCCCACATTTTGCAAGAGATGGAGAGAAAGCTAACAACAAAAGTGATTTTTCGAACAATCAGGGGCCATAATCCAGGAAGTTATGGTCTGAAATGCTCAAATATCGAAAGGGACTGAGATCTTTGGGATATAAAGATATATTTTAAGTTTTTTAAGTTTCATCAAAATCAGATAAAAATTGTGACCTCTAGAGGGTCCACAACCATCATATTACATACTTTAACACACATACGGAATTCAGATGCAAAAAGTATTTCTAACCTGTAGTCTTTCTAGTTTATTACTTATAGTATGTCTATCACCAGTAGTATCACCACATAATGTTTGTTTATCTTTCATATGTCCTAACCAATCTACGGCCATTTGTGAACAATCTTGATATTTCTGATGTAAGTCAACATGATGTTCTGATCGACCAATTAATGCCTGTAATACAAAAATATCAATTTTAAAAGAGGAACTTTTACCAGAAGTATTAATCACTAAAATATGCTTTAAAATTGTTAGCTACTACAATAAGCTATTGCTGGAGTTTAAAAAAGTTTGGTGAATTTCATGTACAACCTAAATTCAATAATAAAGATATTACCTCAGCGTCAGTAAGAAGTTTTTCATATCTTGAGTTGATGTTAGTTATAAAAGAAGATACATCAGGATTAGATGTTGACTGTAAAACACCCTGTGCTTTCTCAACAGCCGTAGCTACCAGTCTTTGATGGGATGCAATATCTTGTAGCAGGGACTGGAAGTAAAATACAATTCAAAATAAAAAGTAAATTGTACTAAGAATCAAATTGGTTCCTTCAGAAGATACAACAGAAGAAATGTCATAAAGGTTATTGAATTATTCAGTGCCTATGTGTACACAAATATTAAAGAAAATAATTGGAAGTAGGGATAATCCATCAAGGTGATCACATGTGTCAATCAAACTAATCCCTTAAATGACCCAACACTTACCCTATGTTTTTGTAACTGCATTCTCTTTTCTTGTAGTGTGTTTTTCATGTCAACATCAGCTCTGAGAGCAGATTCTGTTTCTGCCATCCATCTTTGTAGACTTTCCTGACTATCAGAATATGATGTCAATTGTAGAGAGAATGTGTCAACTTTTCTCTGAGCATCATTTAATCCACTGAATAACTTCTCCCAGTTTTCTTTAGCTTTCCTCATTTCATTTTTAATTTTCTCCCATCCGTGGCTGGCTGTATCCGGATAGAGTCTTTCTCCTGCTTCAATGGAGGAGTTCAGTTTCTGGAGACCATGTTCTTTCTCAGAAAACAACATCTGGAATAAATGAAGTTGACAAGTAACATATCTAATTAATCAAGTTATGATTCTAGTTAGAGGTCATTTCTTATATAGTGATGATAAAATGGTTTCAGTGTACTGGTATTTATTGGAGACATATTTAAGCTAACACAGATCATTTCTTAATGAAATATTTAAATGACAATTTTAGTTTGGGCATATCCATACAACTATGCAGTGTGTGAGATATCTGACATTGTGTAACAAATTTTAATTTCTTGCTTATAATCTAACCTGTAAAATAGTTTTCTTCTCTTCAACAGAATCTTGATTACCAACAGGTTGTTGACAAGCTTCTAGTTTCTGATCTTCTATAGATAACCACTGGTTAAAATCACTCATACGATTATCATATGTCTGATGATCTATTGTAAAGTTTTCCCATTTACTTATCAAATCCTGCAAATAAATAAATACAAATATTTAATGCAATACATGAAGAATTTAGTCTAGACTAGCAAAAAGTGGTGACAGAAGACTGAATAGAACATTACAAAAACTGGATTATAAAGCCTTTGAATAACATGACTTACCTTGACATGTGTCAATAAACTTTGATATCTGTTGGTAAGATTTGATACTTGTGTACTAAGTCTAATATCGGAACTAGTATGCATCAGGTTCTGAGCATCATCAGTAAATCGATCCATATCTGGTTGATGTGCTAATATTTCTTCTCGTTGTTTCTGTAATTACAATAGCATCAAAACAGAATATAATGTATACATGAAGTGGGCATTTATAATATAAATTTCAAAGATAGCCATTCATTTAATAATCAATTATATCCAAATATAGATAAAGCTATATCAAAGTCAGTCACCTTGAATTTCTCGACTTGTGCCTGTTTCTCTTGAACATTTGACTTCAGGTCATAGTTCTTTACTTGTTGTTCCATGTTCTTTAACCATGAAGCAATGTTTTCAAATTTACTCTCAAAATCACCCCACTGAACCATGGCTTGTTCTAGAGAGGTTTCTGACACTTGCATCAGATTAAGGTAATCCTGCCATTCTCTCTGTAAATGTTCTGATTCTCTCTTCAGTATTTCACGACCTTGGGAAGACGTATGCTCAGCTGTGATCTCACTCAATTCCAATGTAATACGTAGTTTACTCTCTCCTTCAGGTACACTTGATAAAAACTCCTGCAAACATAACATGTGAAACATTGGTAAAGAGTTTAATGTGTTCATAAAGTGAACAATTTAATGTATTACAGAACATTAAATTATATATTTTCAGAAAATATCCTTTATGATACTGACCTTTAACCTATCTCGTTTACTCTGAAGAGATAATTTATCTCCCGATCTATCAGTACATGCTGCTAGTTTATCACGAGAATAATTCAACCAATCTTGGAAGTCTTGGTAGCCATCTTGATATTGCTGATGATCTTTGGCCGATTGATCTAGATTATCAAGTCTGGATTTTGATTTGTCACATAGTTTATTATATTTTTTCTGCAACTCTGTTACAAACTTGTCAACTTTAGCAGAAGGAGTGGAATGCATTAAAGAATTAGCTTTCTTTATTAGACTCTCCATAATGTATTCTCGGGATAATATGTCTTGATGAAGAACCTGGAAACAAAACAAAACAATTTAATTTGATTAAACTATTTTAAAAAACTCTTCATACAAAAATGTAATTCATTTTTTATCAACCACACAAAAACTGAAATTCAATTCCATTCAGTGAAAAAAGGATCACTTACTTTATGATTTTGTAACTGGGCTTTCTTGTCTGGTAAAGTTGATTTAAATTCTGCATCTTCATTTAGTTTAACTTCCATATCAACCAGCCATTTGTGGAATTTCTCAGAATTTTCATCATAAGATGACCATTGATTGAGACTTGAATCGAGTTTACGATGAGTGTCTGATAATTTATCACAAACACCTTCCCATTGTTCTCTTAGAGATCTGTATAAAGTAATGATACAAATATGTTCATTTTATTTCTGTGTATTTAAGTAATTGCATTCTAATTTTAGCGGTGATGATGAAATTTTCTGTTTTGATTGAGTTAGCGTGATATAGCTTTTTATGAGATGCCATATTTAATTTATATCTATAAATAGCTTGGCATTGATCAGAGGAAAATAAAACATCTGCAATAAGTGTATTTTATGATCACATTTATAGGTTTTTCCACAATTTTTCTTTTCAGGTTATAATTTATCACCCCTATGATTTCTCTGGCTGAATCGTTCATTTTATGTCCAATAAAAGTTAATTAACAGATCTGTACTTAATTTTCGATCATTTACCTGAGATCTTGTCTAATAATGTCACGGCCTTCAGATGATGTAGTAGAATAAAGTTTTTCACCACTTTCTATAGTTTGATGTACTCTATTAGCATCATCATCTTTTTCTGCTGCTAATTGCTATAAAATAGAAAATTATTTCATTTAATTCCTTCAGTAAATGATTGGCTCAGTTTGCATTAACTGGTGCATTTGTTTCCTTGAATTAGGGCATGACTAAAAGTATGCATACCTGTAATCTAACTAGACGATCCTCTACATCATGTTTATCACCAGCTAAATCAGCACATACATCAGTACGTTTCTGTAAAGTATTCAACCATTCAGCGCAAGCCTGATAATTCTCCTCATATCTGCCATGTTCATCTGACATCTCTTCCCATTTACCAATCAAATCCTAACAACAACAAAATTTGTATGTTTATCCTTTTTTCACACCGACAAATTGGAAGACATGCCATTTCCTTTTTATTTAGTCTATCAAATCCAATCAATTGGTAATAAACTATCAGATAGCTTTTTTCAATGGTCATTACTTGTCATTGTATACATTTAAACAGATGACCCATGTCACTAGCATCTTGTAAACTAATTTTGAGACTAATACATGGTTATTTTTATCATTTATGGCTACATGTAGAGTGTAAGGGAAACACATTTTGACAACATAGGCACCTCAGCCAACTCTTCTTTGAGTTCCTGTCTGGGATTCTTTAATGTGCACATAGACTGCAATTTTTCTTGCCATCCAAACAACTCTATACAATTTCATTGTTAGAGTTGCCAGTGGCAACTATGACAATAAAATGAAAATTCTCCTTTGTCTACACTAGAGTTTGAATCCTACATATGACCTCTAAATATGTCAGATCTGAACATTACCTGTAAGGTGGCCTTAGCCTGGTCATATCTCATACCCAACTGGTTACTATAGTTACTGAGTCTACCATCGCTACTAGGTACTTGACCAGCCATTTCTTGTAGTTCATCAAACTGCGGTTTCTTTTCATTTACTTGTGTTAAAATAAACTGTAAACAATACAGCATATAGTGAAAATTTTGTAAAAAATATAGCATATAGTGAAAATTTTGTAAAAAAATATAGCATATAGTGAAAATTTTGTAAAAAATATAGCATATAGTGAAAATTTTGTAAAAAATATAGCATATAGTGAAAATTTTAAATTATATCATCACTGACAGTCAAAATGGGGTAAAGTCTAGTTTGAGAAGCACCTGATAAGTAATACCAAGATTCATGAACTATTTTCTAAACCCAAATCTGTTATGCAATATGTGGGAGTTAATTAAAGGAGCTAAATCGCTAACATTTGGGACCTAGAAATTGACAAAAGTGGGTCACAACGCATATAATACAGTAATATGAATGTATATAAACTGATTTACATTCAATGGTTTCCGTTTTTACTCCAATTTCAAATCAGTTATGTTCGGCAAAATAAGCTAGCAGTCTCAAGCGAGTGCAAATTTCTAGCGTCTGGTTATTCCAATCTACATACGCCGTTTGATTTGGTGCAATGTGTCTAGCCTCGTCCCTCGAGTCTCTTGATACAACTGGGGCTGAAGCGCATTATGGTACACGATTCGTGTACCAATGGTAAAATATTTATTTTGTCTTAAATATTGGATATCAAAAGCCCATCTTTTTCCGGTAAGATCACAACATGAATGTTGATTTAATTTGACAAATAAATCGTGTTTTCAATGTTGAAGATTTTGGATGATACTGAGTTAGAGACTTAGCTACTTTAAAGGGTCAATCCCGATAATATTTTGGAGATAAATTTGTCTTAAAATCATCTACCTTAGGGCCGAGCAACTAACTCAATATATGTGATATGTTTTCAAACAACTTAAATCCGTCAGTCTTCATCTGGAAATGGAGACCGGTGTCCCAAGCTATATTATACGGTGTCTGGATAAAACCAGACTTTTATTTTATAAGAATAATGTGTAGGTGGAATTTACCTTTCGTTATCAAGTACAGCACATGTGCCATTCACTGTACAGACCGCTAAAGGAACGGGGATCGATTATCAGATCACCCAACGAAAAAATTGTCCCGAAATCTTAAAAGGGTTACGTGTCCGGATAAGCAGTTTTGACATTCACGTCCAAACGACTCAATATTTTGAGCTGAAATTTTGAGACAAGGTAGATACACCACTCCTCTATATTTTGGTACTTAAATTTCATACGTACTCGGACTTTTATTTTTAAGACTCTGTTCAAATCGGGGTAGTCCCTTTAAGTTTAATTTTACTGGTATCGAATAAAGACATAACACAAATAATCTGATTCATTACCTTGAGTTTCTGTACTTCAGCTTCTTTTTCATTCAATGTTGATTTCAGCTCAACATCTTTGATTTCACCCTCTACTTCTCGTAACCATTTGTTTAAAGCCTCACAAGTTCCATCATAATGATCTACAGCTTGTATAGCATGCATTAAACCTTGCTGGGTTTCTCCCATTCTTTCTACTAAAGTCTCCCAATCTTGTGTCAGTGTACTTAATTCATGTGTAATCATAGATTGTCCATGAGGACCTGTAGTGTGTAGCGTCTTCTCTCCATGTAAATGAGCAGTGTTGATTTTAGCTTCTCCATCCCTTAATCCTGCATGAAGATCCTGTGAAAAATAATTTGAAATCTTGTTGTAAAATTGCTTTATCTATGCCTGTGACTCTTCAAAATCTTACACTGTTTTCACCAACTGATATCCCATGCCTTCATAATGATGAATGCATTTGGTCTGAAAATGATATTTCTACAAAAAATACAACTTAGAAAGGAGACTTACCTTCACCCTGTCAAGTCTGTTTTCAAGAGCTTGTTTATCTCCACCTAGTTCAGCGCAAACAGCAAGTTTATCTCTAGTACTGATCATCCAGTCTCTACATTGTTGTAAGGCATCCTGGTATTTTTCATGTTCGTCAACACCTTCTTCAGCATTCTTTACTAATAACTACAATAAATATTTAATGTATCTAGGTTATCAATTCAAATAATTTGTTTTGCAAATCTGTCCTGAGCAATCAACTTTTGAAGGAAATTCATTCTGCAAATTGATTACTACTTCTTTAATAGCAAAACATATATATAATCAAAAATATTACTAAAGAAGTATATGTGTTTTTACCTTAGATTCAGTACAGAGCGACTTGTATTTATCATTCAATCTTTTAAGTTTAGTTTGAACAGTAGAAGATGAGAGTGCTGTACCCTTGTCACTCAAACTGTCAATCATTGGTTGATGTGACAATATATCTTGACAACGAGTCTGAAAATTCGAAAGTAATAAAACCGTTACTTATTGGTATACAAAAGAAAATACGTAATGCATATTATGTTATCTATAAATTGTATACACATGCATGTAACAGCATATTCAGACTATCTATAGCATGTTACCCCAGAGCTAGAGGCCTTGTGATAGGTTAGATTTCTAACATGTAAAATATTCAAAATATTTTCAGATTGATGTTCTCAAACACCAGGCCATTCATAGAATATAGCTAAATAAATATTTTGCAGGCTTGATAGCTTCACTTTAACAGTGTATGTTATTAAATAATGAAATGGCTACTTTACCTTCAGCTGCTGTAACTGTGCTTTTTTCTCTGGGAGAGTATTACTATCTTCTGGTGCAACAGTTATTTGATGTTCAGAGTCGACTAGCCATTTTGACAGCTGATCAAAATTTTCATCAAATGTTGACCATTTCATACGACTACTATCTAACTGTCTTTGTGTTTCATTTAAATTGTCATTAAAATTATCCCAAGATTCTCTCAAACCTCTCAAATCTCTTCGGACAAGATCTCTGCCTTCATTTGAGGTATTTGGAAATAATTTTTCACCAGACTCCAAAGCTGAGTTAAATTTTACTAAACCCTCTTCTTTACTGGCAACAAGATCCTGTAATAATACAAGTTGATATGTTCAAATATTTTTCAAGAATACCATGACACTTTCATATCAGATATACCTTGAATTACTTACTATAAATGAGGTCACTGAGATCCCATCATCATGTATCTGTAGATGAACTTTTTCTATCATAAATGTATTGATTCATAGAGTGATGAAAAATGCATATTTTTGATATTAGTGTATCTACCTGAATGAGAGCTAGTTTAGCGTTAAGTGACTCTTCATCCCCATTTTGAGAGTTGCAATCATTTAATTGTCCTTGAGCAACTTCTAACCATTCATTGAAATCATTTTCTCTTGCAATAAAGTTCTCATGATCATCTATATTTTGTTTACATCTGTCAAGATTTTCCTAGTAAAAAAAAAAATCAATCATAATATCAAATCATTTAATACAAATCTATGAAAACATTGATTCTAAATGCAAATGTGTTAGAAAATAGATATAATTCTCAAACATTCCAGCAAATTTAACATTTACATGAGAAAAGTGGAAATAATAAGCTGCAAAGTAATCATTAATACACCTACTTTGAGATTTTCTGCTAATGTCTGGTATCTATTACACAGTTGAGTAGCATATGATGCTGTTCTGTTGTCACCTGTGGTACGAGAGATCTTATTGGCTGAATCTTTCAGATTGTCAAATTCTCTACTATGGGCTTGAACATCATCATAAAGGTCCTGGTAGGAAATACAACAAACATTATACACAAACTCAATTCATCCAGTTCACATATTTGATTAAAATTTAGTTTTAATAATGTATTGTTTAGAATCTCAAGTTTGAAATTATGATGGGAAAAACTGTAAATCCTGAGAAGGAAATTATGGTTTACCTATCGATTATTTTTAAATGGCGGATGTGGGTTAGGTACATGTATCCATATGTAAAACTTACTTTAAAGGCTTCTAGTTGTTCTGTTTTACTGGCAGGATCAGGTCTTAATCCAGATTCATTTCTAGTCTTTGTTTCTGTATCTTTTAACCATTGAGCTAATCCTTCATATTGACCATCATATTCTGACCACTGGTCTATAGATGATTCTAATTTACCCCTAAAAATAAAACCAATGTGTAAATCACATGTACTCCACTTTACATAAATACTGCCACTGGGGTCAATCTTGGGAAGGGAGTGATGAGGGCTGCCCAATTTTGAAACGAATATATAAACGTTTGTTATTAAATATCATCTGAATTAATTTTAATGAAATGAATGAAAATTTTCATTCATTTCACTAAAATTTAATTCAGGAAGTTAAAACAAAGCTGACACTGGAAGCTACATTTCAGAAGTATATAAAACTTACTGTGTTTGAGATATCTGTCCAACAAGAACATCCCATTCTCTATTCATTTCTCTATTTTTAGCTTCAAGTTCAGCTATTTTTTCTCTAGGTAAAATAGCCCGTAGTGCCTGTAACTTGGCCTCTGATACGCTTTTCTTTTCTTCTCCTTCTTGTAAGTTACCATGTAAATCCTGTATAAGACCATGAATATGAGAGATGGTAAACATAATTATTATACAAAACAATGTGCTTTTTCAACGCACAATCGTAAATTGCTAAATCATACTGTTAAATACATACACAACTCCAAAACACACGTCATCATCACTTATATTATGGATCCCAAGTTTAATATATACTATTCAAAAAAAGTAGGGGATATTTGATTTTTAAGTGTTATTTAAGTCACCTAATGAAACTGACGAAGAAACAAATGACAAAATGAAATGAAGTTCACATTCATCGATTTATTCCAAATGATCGTTAGACTAAGTAAGGCACAGACTGACCATTATAAGGGTAAAATGATACCCGGGGTCAAACAGCAAAGTTACCACAGCATCACAACCAAGTCAGTAACGGGTAAATCCTCCTCTGTTTGCCAAACAAGCATTGATCCGACGTGGCATACTCCTAATGAGACGTCTAAGGTCATTTTGGTCCAGATTGTCCCATTCCTGTTGCAACGCAGCAGCAAGTTCTTGGACATTGGCAGGACGTTGTTGACGTTGACGTAACCTCTGTCCAAGCATGTCCCAGACATGCTCGATGGGGGAGAGGTCGGGACTCAGTGCTGGCCAAGGTAATGTGGTGATGTTCTGTTGTTGGAGGTAACCTGTAACGATCCTGGCCCTGTGACATCTTGCGTTGTCATCCTGGAAGATGAAACGGCGGCCATGACGTCGTGCGAACGGCACAACATGGACTGCCAAGATGTTGTCCCGGTAGTACTGGCCTTTAACACGCCCTGCAACAACATGTAAAGCCGTTCTTCCAGCAACAGTGATGCCTCCCCACACCATAACAGAACCACCCCCAAATCGATCATGTCTGATGACGTTAACGTCTTGGAAGCGCTCGTTTCGACAACGCCACACCCTCCTACGTCTGTCCAAAAAATCAACAGTGAACCTTGACTCATCTGAAAACATCACATTGCTCCAGCGTCGATTATCCCAGTGTTGACGATCCCTACAAAAACGACGTCTTGCCTGAATGTGATGATCCCTCAAACAAGGGATCACGCGAGGACGTCGGGCGCGAAGGTGACCCCTATGCAGTCGATTCCGAATCGTCTGGCCACTCACTCTCACACCAGTGTCTGTTTGAAGACGAGCGCTGATCTGATTTGCTGTGATGACACGATTTCTCAAGGCCAAGGTACGGATAAATCTATCCTGGGCTTGAGTTGTCGCCCTTGGTCGACCTGAGCGTGGTCTGTCCTGTACAGATTGTGTATCACGGTATCTGGACCATAGCCTGCTTATGACAGACTGAGAAACATTCATCGTCCGCGCCACAACCGCCTGTGTTGTGCCGATCTGTAGCATGCCAAGGGCACGTAACCTTTCATTTAGGGTAAGCCGACGCATATCAAAATTTGTTTTCTGGTCACTAAAACAATTAAACTGATGTTTCCACCCTGGAATTCAATGCCACAATGACTGTAACATTCGAAGTCAGAGTCGTGCAAATCTTGGGTTGGACCCCCATGATGATCCCAAGCATCACCTGCATTCCATGCGGTAGCTATTGGTGCGTTTGGGCGTCAAATGTAACTGGAAATGTTTCTTCTGTTAGGTTCTATAGTGACTTTTTTCGTAGTCATTTGCATATTTTAGTATTATGCCCCCAAAATCAAATATCCCCTACTTTTTTTGAATAGTATATATATATATATATATATATATATATATATATATATATATATATATATATGTATATATATAATACAATGCAAAATACACAAAGTCATCATCATTTATACTATGGATCCCAAGCTGATTAAACACAATACTGTCCAACAAGCAAACAGTGAGACTGAGGTCTCCTACCTCAATCCTAAAAATACACTCATGTTACAGAGGTGTAACTCCACTTCGTTTTCAATTATGTACTAGACTATATTATTATAGACAGAATGATCAAGACTAGTAAGCACCAAGAGCAACTTCAACAATGTTGGCCTACTCTATATGAAGTGAATATCGGACACCAGCATACAGCTTCAGAAGCCAATTATCATGTATTATCAGGAATGTAATGCTTACCCTAATGGTGTCAAGTTTGGATTCTACACTATATCTATCACCACCGATATCCTCACACCAATTAACTTTCTCTTTTGCGGAGTTTAACCAACGACCTTCCTGTTGTAGAGCTTCGATATAATGTTGTTCTAATGATCCTTTCAAGGAATCTTCTATTCTATCAGCTCGGCTTATCATTGTTTCTAACTTTTTAGCTAGTGTATTGGCATCTTTGGCTAAACTAGCTGAATCTGCTGAAGGATACTTCCCTTGTAATGCAGATGACTTATTTTGTATTGCTGCAATTTTCTGCTGCTTTTCTCTAAGTTTAGATTGAAGTTCCTGAAAAACAAAATTATTTGTTTGTTGTTAATAGTGGTTTCTTTTATTAGATTTATTTTCTCTGCTGAAAAAATTACTTTCTGTATTTACAACTTTTCCTGAAGTTTTCTGCACTTGTAAGATAACAGCATATCATCATAATATAGAAGATTCTACAGTATTATTCATCACAATAATCCACCTGGTTGCATATCTTGTATCTGTTCAAAAGAATTTGTCAAACGAATATGTCCATTGTTCAATTTGGAAGTGCTAGTCTTTACTACAGTCTAACAAAGCAATATATAAATACCCTGACAGCTAGAACTCTTGCGGCAATTTCTTCATCAGTACCAGATAAATCATCACATTTAGTTAGTAATTCTTTCATTTGGTTCATCAGTTCCGACTGTTCATCCATTTCTTGTTGTAACTGTTTCTGCTCATCTGCGAAACTGGATACAGTTGTATCAAGTTGATGTGCTAGAACATTAGCATTATTAAACTTCTCTCTCATTTCTTTATGACTTCTCTCAAGTTCGGGTAAGGGTTTGTTACCATTTAATTCTTTAAGATCAGCTATCTTTTGGGTGATTTCTTCAATCACCTCTTCATGGTAAGGTGCTTCTTCCTGAAATTTTATAGCAAAAATAGTTGAAAGTGTTCCAGTATTACTTGTATGCCCATACATATATTTGCAGAAACTGCCTCAAAAATATAAATGCATTCAACTGAAATTTATAGGGATTCCATGTCAAGAAATAGGAGCTTTGACTAAAGCTTGTAAAACATTCATTTTTAAAAATTTATCCCCCAAAAATTGCAACAATGAACAAACCTTAAATTTGGCTAGTTTAGCCTCGACACTGGCTGTATCGTTAAAGTTTTTAATACTATCACCTAGTTTATCCATCATGCCATTTAACCAAGAAGCTACTTCTTCTCTACCGGATGTTATCTGATCCCAACATACTAATTGTGCTTCTAGATTTTTCTCATGTTCATCTACTGTCTGAAAATCAACAAATTAATTTTGTGACATTTTCATATCTAAGGCATCAGTATATTGTTGAACAATGAACCATTGATTCAATAACTGAAGGTGTCAATATGGCTCCTAACAACACTACACAGTAAATCAAAGGCCTTGAATGGAATGTATTGAAGTTTTTGCTAAAGCCTTTGAAGTACAATTTCATAAGCTGCCCTTTAATAAAAAGGAAACTCATATGATTTTGACGGCTTACCCTACAAGATGTTTCCCAGGAATGGTTGACAGTATCCAAGTCTTGAGCTAGTTCATTAGAATTAAAACTAGGCACTTTCTTCAACTCTTCAAACAACTGGATTCCTTTATTATTCATATGATCAAGTTGTGTCTGGTTAGCTTGAAGTTCAAAGCCAGCATTCTGAAAAAAAACCCATGCATTCAACATTTCACGCTGCAATATACTTCCATATTCCTCCTGTGATTAATATGGTACTTTTTAAAATGAAGAGCATGAAATATGAAATGGCTGCAATGACTATAATATGACAAGAGGCAAAGAAGTATAGGCATTGGGTTTGTTTTGCCAAATTTACAGACTAAATATTAACAAAAAGTGGATGTGACACCAACCCAGGGGGTTTGGGCATGCACCAAAATAAATAGTTGCCATCTTTGTGGTATAAGGAATAAATATTCCCAGTTCAAAGATGATCCATTCAGAATTCCAGACTAGACAATAAATACAAAAATTGGGCATGGCTCTTCCCCTGAAGATTGGATATGTAACAAAATAAATAGGTACATGTGTACAATCCTGTTATTGAAATGATTGATGTACTGAATTTGAACAAAATTTGTTAATAATTGCCACCTGTAGAGTATTTACAGACAAAAAGTTACTAAAAAAAATGGGTGTGGTGCCACAACCCTGGGGATCGGATCATGCACCAAAATCAATAGTTGCCGTCCTTAGGGTATAAGGAATAAGTATGCCAAGTTCCAAGATAATCCATTCAGAATTGTGGCCTTCAGACGCTAAACACAAACCAGCGGTTGCCAGGCAAAATTCGCCCACATTTTGCAAGAGATGATAGAGAACAAAAAAAAAGGGATTTTACGTACAATCAGGGGCAATAATCCAGAAAGTAACAATTAGATGTGCAAAAATATCGAAAGGAACCAAGATCTTTTGATTATAATTATACATTTCAAGTTTCATCAAAATCGGATAAAAATTGTGACGACTTCTAGAGTGTCCACATCCTTGGTATTATATACTTTTACACTATTTGTGTACAAGGGGCGGCCATTTTATGTAATGGTGATATATAAACATATTTTAAAACTGAATACAAATTGTGACTTCTAGTGGATCCACAAGCTAACAATGTGATTTTTTGAAAAATCAGGGCCATAATCCAGAAGTTACGTTCGGATATGCGCAATTATCGGAAGGAACTCGAGATCTTTGTGATATAAACATAAATTTAAAGTTTCATCAAAATCGTGGGCTCCAGAGGGTCCACAACCTTGATATACCATATATTTATTTACACTATTTGCTTACGAGGGGCAGCCATTTTGTCCGGCAGTTTTGGTCCGATTTTCACGAAATTCAAACTCAACCAACACTAGGGTGTAACGGTGATATATTCAAACGTTTTTTTTAAATTGGATAAAAATTTTGACCTCTGGGGGGACCACAAGCTAAAAATGTAATTTTTTCGTACAAGCAAGGGCCATAACTCAGGAAGTTGAGATCCGATATGCGGGAATATATCTTTGGGCTATAAAGACGTACTTCCAAGTTTTTATAAAAATCGGATCAAAAGTATGACCTCTAGAGGGTCCACAAAATTGGTATACCATATATTTACTCTTTTTGTGTACGAGGGGCGGCCATTTTGTCTGGCAGTTTTGGTCCGATTTTCACAAATTCTAACTCAACAGTGAACTGACACATTGCAAACTATGTACATACCCTATGGTGATCTAGAGATTTCTTCACATCATCAGGATTATTAAATGCTATATCTTTAATGACTAATGGTTGTACATCTTCTAGAACTTTATGTACACCTTGTTTACCATCTTCATATTGTTTCCACATATTAACAATACTAACATAATATTGTTGTTTATCCGCCAATTGTGCCTGAACACGATCCCATGCCTCATTTACTTGTGCTAGTTGAGATTGCACAGCAGGGTATTTTTCATTGTCAGCTTGTGTAATTTGACGTCCCAGGTCTCTTAGTTGTTCAAATTCTGGATTCAGAACATACATCTCATCACGAATATCCTGAAAGGTCAAATCATGAAATCATAAGTAGATAAGAAAACAAGCAGTGAGGCTGATGTCCCCCACCCCAATTCCAAAATAATATGACACATTAACTAATTGTACACTCAGTCAAGCTATTGACTAAACTATATGCCAAGTTTCATCACTCTCACTCAGTGCCTGCTCTCACTCAATTAGAATCAAAGTTACTGTGTCTCAAAGTAACAGCCAATCAAATTAGCTCCTGCAGAAAATGCACATCTTCAAACGCCATCTAGGCAGAGTTATTGTGTACCAAAAAGTGTGAAGGACAAACGGACAGACCCATTTTAATAGTCCCCTGCTTTCTTCGAAGGGTGGTGGACAAAGAGAAATTTAGCTATTGAACTTATAATTTTCCACTACAATTATCAAGAAATACTTAAATATTTCAACTAAAAAGTATCCTACAAAATCTTTTTCAGTGTAGACTATTTCCCCAATAAAGCAATGTTAAACAACACGAAAGGGCATCCCACATAAAGGGAACATTTATTACTTAATATCGAATGACAAATACTAAAAATTTAAAGAATGTCTCACCTCTATTTCACTAACTAAATCTTTCATTCCTTGTAAATTAGATTTACTGACTTTAGCTGCAGCGATTTTCTTTTCTATTTTACCAAGTTTATCCATTAGTTGATTTTTCCTCACAGTAAAATCTTCACTAAGTTGATTTAATTCTCCGAGATGTTCTTCTCTCTTATCAGCTTCATATCGTACATTATCGCAATTTGTGGCAATACTCTGAAGCTCTGAGCCAAAATGTAAAGATCGCTGAGTGGCTCGATCCTTAATTGTCATCTTGGCATTAATCATTAGTTCATCTAAAGGATCAGCATTTTTCTTCCAATCGTTCATTCCTTTTTGTATTATTTCAATTTCTTGTTTAATCCTAATTACATCTTCTTCTTTGAGATCTGGAGATTGAAGACGGGCTTGTAGTGCCTTAAGCTGAGCCTGAGCATCTTTTTGGGATCCATTGAAATTCATCCATTTTTCACATAGCTGCTCGCGTTTCTGTATAGTTTCTTCCATATCAGAGTAATTATTCAACAACTTATCTAGTCTGTCACTCAATATGGCAGCCTCCTCTTCACTACAGTTCTGCATCATATCTCGGAATTCTTGTTGTATCATCTGTAATGTGCCATCTTGTTGAGAAAATTCACCTCTTAATTCCTGCAAAAGACACAAACATCATTAAATATATAAACTTCCACCAAAACTGGATAATTAAATCATATCTAAGTATGAATATGTTTTTACAAATTGTATTTTTTGCTGAACTGTTCACCAGGCCTGGAAATAATGGTTTTAAGTGCAACTGACAAAATAACCTGCAATACTGAACTAGTACATAACATTTTGACCTTTGTGCTGGACAGTTATTAATAATACAAATATACTCTTCAAAAAAAGTAGGGGATATTGAAATGCAAATACCTATGCAGGTTGTGATATGATAAATAGTCATGGACACTTGACATGCTTTGAGAGTATGTTCACAGAACTTATCACCCCAACAGAACCACTGAGCTGCATGTTTAATTTGATCGGGAGACGTGTTATTAACATACACTGATTACCTCTAATAAAAACAGCAGTGCATTTCCGCAGTTTTGTATTGTTTCTGAATATCCCCTACTTTTTTTGAAGAGTATATATAAGACAAATCAGTGCCAGAAAAAATGACAGGCAATGGTAAAGAAGTGAGTTGTTAAAAATACCATCTCATAAAATTATCTTCTTGTGAATATGAATTTGAAAATGGTTTTCTTACCTGTAATTTCTGACTAGTTTCAGGAATTTCATCAGAATATATGTCACCACCGGCTGCAACCTTTCTCTGCATCTTTTTCATCCAAGCTTCTAGAGCATCAGCATGACCAAAAACATCACGTCTATGATTTAATGCTGATTGTAACATCTTTACTCTCTCTGATGCTTCAGTATTAATCTCATTCCATACAGCTTTATTTTCATCTTGTTTAGCTTTGAGGGTTTGGAAACCTGCTGGATTAGCATGAGGTTGAACTTGTTCAAATAGTCTTTGTAATGTGTTCAGTTTGGGTTGGTTACTTCTTATTTCTTCTTGTAATGCCTGAAACGATCAAACTATAACATGATCTATGGCATTAAAGAAACTAAACATCATTGATTTTGATCAAAATTAAGTGTCGAATGGGTTACTTCATTCGCATGCTCTATATGACTAAATCTTTTTTTTTAAAGGAAATTAAATGCAATGGGGTTTAACTACTATTAACTAATACCCATCAGTTATATCTCAACATTGACTTTATGGATTCAAAATTGACTCTCATCCCACAAAAAAACAATCAAGCATAAAATCCAATGAAGTTGCCAGATCAAAGCATGTGTGTCAATTCCAATTACATATATATTTCAAAAATTCAAAATCTAATTTTTCCAGATTCAGAATTAATTAATGCCAAGCATTTCTCTTTATTTATGTATATGGCACAACTGAATATGATTGTTATCGTGACAAATGTATATCAATAAAACCAACCTTAGCAAGAGCTAATTCGTGTTCTAAGACATGAATATCAGAAGACGTAGTGTTTGGTTCTACAGCTAATCGATTCTGGAATTTCTGTAAGATTTCACGGAAATCATTCAGTTCGTTGTCATAAGCTGTCCAAGCACCATACATTTTATCTAGTTTATGAGTTCGTTCATCGGAAGACGTCAGAATATTTCCCCATCTTCTCTGAATACCATCCAGTTCCCTAGCAACTTCAGGCTGTTCCAACAAGTAGCCAGCCTCAGTGCTCATTCGATCAAAAACAGGTAAATTATCCTCAGATTCTTGAAGGAAGTCCTGTCAACAAAAATGTAAGCAAACTTATAACAAAATACAGGAGTCTTACCTATTTGGCACTTTCATTACTTTAACTGCCTGGATAAAGGGTTTTTTCCACTCCATAATATACATTTGAAAGACTTTTTACTGTAACATCCGAAAAGATTTAGGGAAATACTTTAAATGTCACCAGATTCTAATCTCATAACTTTACCTGATGAAGAGTATACAATTCTTTAGCCTCCTCCAAACTGGAACACTTTGGAAGTTCTGTAGCACAGTATTTCTCTCCCTTCACTATCCATGGCATTAATTCTGATTGTAGGTTCTGATATTTCTGCCAGTGAGCTACATTACCAGATAAGGCAGTACTTCTGTCTTTGGCTCGTGAACACAAACTCTCCCACTGTCTGCGAACACTAGTCAATTTAGACTTTAAGGCACTAGTTTCTCTGGAGCGGAAGTTTTGGGAGAGTCCTCTTGCATCTTTTTCCAATGTTTCCAAACTAATGTGGTTTTCATAGACTTCAGTGGAAATTTCCTGAAAAGTATGACATGTTTAGAAAATTAATACCTTTTATACACTCATTAACTATAAGTATAAAAAATTCACTATAACACGACCAGAGAGTGAAATATTTCTAACACATTTCTAAAATATGCTTTAAATAAGTACTCAATGAATTAAATTTACATTACCTCAGCTTTATTTAGTTTCTGTTCAGGGGAATCATGTTTGTTTTCATAAACTTCATTTAAGTTAGCTTCTCTTTCATTCAACCAGTCACAAAAATGACTGAGTCTTTTATAATATTCAGACCACTTGGCAATGGTAGTTTCTAAATCAGCTAGTTTAGCATTTAGTCTTTTGGAAACGTTATCTAATTTAACATCAATATCTGATATTTCTCCTTTCAAAGGTCCTTGTCTTTCATTACTAGCACCTTCACACAATAACGAGTTTAATTTCTGCATTTCACCTAAACTGCTTTTTAATTTACTGAGAGACTGTTGTAATTCCTGCAAATAGAAAATATAAGTAAACTAAAAATACGAACATTATATACCAATGTAAAATAATCAACAACAAAAAAAAATATAAAATCCAAATGAAAAGATTCATTAAACTTTATTCTTTATCTTACCTTTTTGTTATGAAAGTCTTTTTGAACTTGCTCTTGTCCTGGAGATCCAGGAGGTTTCTCCAATTCTGCTTCAGCATCTTTTAAATATTTCAACATGGTAGATTTTTCTCCTTCATACTGCTCCCAATTCTGAACATGAGACTAAAATAAAGATGAAGGACAGTTAGTCGTGTCATACAGAAGACTTCTGTGTGAAGAATAGAAAGAAACCTTAAATGACCTTCAATCAATCAATAAAAGATCTTCTTAATGTAAGAACCAAAGATCATATCAATCAAAGATAAATACACTTGATGGGGATTACCATATGACAACAATGGCTGAATAGTTGACACAATGTGTTTAATATTCTTACCAGTAATTTTTCTTGTTTAGCTTTAGCTAGATTATTAGTATCTTTCCATTTTCTATCCAGTTCTGCTACTGTCTTGCTAACAAAATCTGGGGCATCCTTTTCTCGCTGAAGTCTTCTGCCAGCATCTAGGTCAGCCATGACATTAGCTTTCTCAGCTTCTAATTTTCTCATAATACCCTATCATATGAGAGATAAGAAATAAGTATCTGTATAACACAATTATCATCATTTGAAAACGAAAACAAATTAATTCTTGGTACTGTTTTAGGAAGAAACAATTGGTAGAATTGTATATTGCAAATGACTTTTAAACTTTATACACATATATATACCGGTACAGAACATGTTTTAAGGCTTGGCCATCAAATCCGACACTTTGTGAGTGTTTTGACATTTTGTATTTTCTGGATTTGAAAACACTAATTAACACTAAACATTAAATAACAGATTACTGATGTTTTTTTCTGTATTTATTTTATAACACAAACAAATGATTTTTTAATTATACCCAAGCAGATCTATTATATATTAATATTAATGGAACAATGATAGATTATTTTTTGAAGTTCAAATTATCAAAAAAAAGAAAGGTTTTTCGTGTTAAATAAAAGATTATATCAGCAATTGTATCAATATTCACACATCAGAAGACACACAATTAAAATTGAAAAACGGTTTGAAATTTTATTAAAAGCAAATCTGCCAACAACAAATAACACTGCAAAAACAAACATTAGATTTATCATCAAGAGGAGAGTACTAGTCCCTAATCAACAACTGCAGCACATGAATCCAACTTGTACTTACATAGCCAGTCTGCAAAACATGATTTATCATATAGTTTATTGTACAACATTTGTATTAAGATTATTTTTTACTAGAAAAGAGTATATATTTAAGGGAATAAGGTGTATGATATGCAAATTAAAATTAAAAAAAACTGATATAAAATCACCATAAATAACTATATTTTAGTAGTTTAAAATATTTGATAACATTTCTGGACTAGTACTCTCAATGAGAACAGTGGCATTTTAACTTGGGGTTGTGAATCAATCACCACACTCATGTTTCATAATCTGGTTATTTTAATACACACATGCATTTCACATTCATGTTTGAATTACTATAATTTTCATTTACATTCTGGTTTGTTAAATCAAAATAAAAATGCTATTTCTTTACACAAATTTCATACAGTGCAAATATTCCTGAAATTCATCAACTTACCTCATGTTCTTTAAGATAGGATCTGGCTTCATCAAGACTGTCAATGCATGGTTGTTCCAATACCAGCTTCTGAGCATCATCTAACCACCCAAACTGTTTATTAATATTATCTCTGTAGTCAAAACTCTTTGTGTAAATGGAAGTTTTTCCTGCAGTTTGGTCCATTAATGGTTTAAGGTTTTCAAATCTTATGGTCAAAGTCTGAAGTGCTTCTTTCTCTCTTTTAGCGTCTGCTGTATTGGCATCTTTAATTAATTCATTTAAATTTATATTCAACCATTTAGCATCATCAGCATATTTACCACGATCTCGCATCGCCTTCTGAAAATGACAAAATATAAATATTGTAAAAACATGTCTATTTATATATATATATATATATCTAACAGAACTGCCTCTACCAACTATTCAGTATCCATGACATTTGGTACCATATTTTACAGTCAATGTGGAAATGAGGTTTAACGTCCTACTCCTTAACTGGGCTAATGAAGACGGGCATACGCCATACAGTGTGCTATGAGGGAAATGTTGCCCGGGCAGTGGCGCTACGGCCAACTCTTATATCGAATTCCAACTGCCAAGGGATCTTTTATGTTCACTCCAATGTGTACACGGGACCTCGGTTTTTCGTCCCATCAGAATGACTAGACAGCTGTCCTTGTCAGGCCCTTCGTCCTGCATCACTGACAAGGGGAAACCACGCCGGAAAATCTGGATGAACTTTCTCATTCAATGCAGGGATCGAACACCACTTAGCCACATGTTCCCCACAGTCAATGTGGAGTTGCCATATTTTACTTAATATAAGTGAGAGAGAGAGAAATGGGGTTTAACGTCCACTCGACACAAACCAGGTCATTTTGGGACTAACATATGGTTTAATTTTATTTCAATAATTTGCTTGCGCGTAGGGGTCTTTAGCAGTGGGAGGAAACCGGAGGACCCGGAGAAAACCCACAAGGTTGGACAGGCGACCCTACTCCTTGCCACGTACAACCGGGGATTCGAAACCACGCCAGTCGACTCAATGACACACTAACCATGCCATCCAACCCCCCCTAAATATAAGTCAATGTGGGATAAAAGTTAAATCGTTGTATTGTACAGTCTTTTCAAAGCTGTGTACAATATTGTCTATTAGACATAGCTAGAGAATCATTGAAAGCTTCTCTTTCAAAAGTGTAATTTTATAATACATGCATATGAAACAAGGTTATGATTTAATGACAATCACCTGGAATTTAGCTAATATTTCTTTATATTCTTCATTTGTTAAATCAGTTCTCTTCATGGCTTGAGTTAATTTTTCTACTTCTTCAATCCAGTTGCTGAATGTGGTCAATCTATACGAGATTTCAAGAACACAAATTAAATGCTTTATTCAAAATAAGGAAAATGAAATACATAGAAAATAAAAGTCGATTTGATGAACCCTGAATGAGATTTCAGAAAAACAAGTTAAATAGTACATAAATTCAAAATATTGAAAATGAAACAAATAAAGAACAAAGGTCATGACAACACAATATTTCATTTATTTTGAGGATCTAAGTTTTCAGGATTTATATCTTTACCTAGTGTGATACTCCTTCCATCTTTCCGGTAATTGTTTAAGTTGTAGATGTGTATTATCAACATATTTCTGAAGTTTATTAAATTGGTCTACATAGGTTCTATGTTTTTCTTGTAGGGAAGAGTCATTTTTGGTTAATTTTAGTAACATGTTTGATTTCTCTTCCATAACCTCTAAATTTTTCTTCATTTGTGGCATTAGTTGTCCATCTTGGAAAATTTGCTGAAAGTAGATTATTTTATTATTAAACATACATTACGCAAGAGCTAAATCTGCCTATTGCAGGTCTTTCTTTAGGAATGTTATCTAAATTATTAATTAGACATTAATTAACTTATCCAGACCATAATAAACTCTCAATGGCATCGCTAGCCTGCGATGTTTATTGGATTAGGTTCCGATTTAATCATTAAATGGATAATCGCTGAAAATCTTGGTTCAGAGTGGATCAATTTGACTGAAAATTTCAGCAAATTCCCTTTACATTATCTAGTTTTGAACTATTATAGAGAGAACTGCCAGCTTTTTATCTGACCTAACATAATTTATCTTTAAATGATTTGTTTTGTTATATATGTTTATTATTAATCACCTATTAAAAGAGCGATAAAATTATCTTGGAAATTTGCTAAAAGCTGTTTTAATAGCCAAGATTTTTTGATAAAGTAAAGATAAAAATAATATGTCTAACTTACCTTGTGTTTAAGTAATGCCTCTTTAACATTTACTTGGCTTCGTAGTTGTTCTTCATGTTGTTTTAGAGCTGTTTCAGCCATATCCATATTTTGACAGAACTTGCTCTCGGGTTGTGAAAACTCAAGATGAAGGAGACGTAACGGTGCATGATGAAGGACATTCTGAAAAATTGTCCCAAAAAATAGTTTGAAGATAGTTTACATAAATTCTTTTACAAGAAGAATGCAAAATCTAGCTTAGTTATTGATGCTAATTATCATCTAACATCAAATTTCGATCAAATGAGATATTTTTATGTACAGGACATCCATGATTCCAATTTCAAGAAAATGTTACTTTGTAAAGACAGTCTTTATCCATGAAATTACTCTGGAATAATATAACTATCCTAAGAATTAAGATAGGTTGCCAGGCAACGAAACATACGCCCACAGCAGCTAAATCGATCGAGTGGTCGACAAGGGTTGTCACATATTTATTTCTTTATAGGTAATTGGGGGCTTTTACAAGACAGTTCCATACAGATCAGAATATAAATTTTATCGTTTGAGGGTTTACAAGGTTCTACAAACTGAAACAAGGGTCTCAACTTTGGAAGTAATCTACAGAAATTGTTGAAATTTGACAGGCTTTTTCTTTTTACTAATTTAAATAATGCATATAAATTTCATACAGATCATATGATCACTTTTGTTATTCAAACGTTCACAAGGTTCACAAATCGCCATAACTCTAGAAATTATTGACGGAAATTGCTGAAATTCAATAGACCTGTTTCACAAATTTAACTGATGAATATATATTTCATACATATCAGATGATAACTTTCATCAATTGAGCATTAACAAGGTTTAACAAAGTGAAACAAGCGCCATAACTCTAGAAGTAATTAGTGTAAATTGCTGAAATTCAATAGGCTTCGTGGTTTCACTAATTTAAATAATGCATATAAATTTCACAAAGATCTGATAATAACTTTTGGCGTTGGAGCGTTCACGAGGTTCAATAAAGTGAAAAGAGCCATAATTCTAGACGTAATAAACGGAAATTACTGAAATTCAATAGGATTCAATAGGATTGTTCTTTTTACTAACTTAAATGGCACATATAAATTTCCTACAGATAGGCAGTTAAATTAAGAGGTTAGAGCGTTCACAAAGTGAAACAAGGGCCATAACCGTAATAAACGGAAATTGCTGAAATTCCATAGGATTCTTCTCTTGACTAATTTAAATGACACATGTAAATTTCATACAGATCGGCAGAGCATTATAGAGTTCCCATGGTGCAACAAAGTGAGAGAGAGAGAGAGAGAGAAATGGGGTTTAACGTCCACTCGACACAACTAGGTCATTTCGGGACTAACATATGGTTTAATTTTATTTCAATAATACGCTTGCGCGTAGAGGGTTTTAGCAGTGGGAGGAAACCGGAGTGCCCGGAGGAAACCCACGAGGTTGAGAAGGCGTCCCTATCTCCATGCCACATACACTCACACCAGGGCTCGAAACCACAGCCACAAGCCAGAGGTGACCGGCCAGCCAGAGGTCGAAGCGCGGCACTCTAGACCACTAGGCCATCCCAACCCCCCTGCAACAAAGTGAAACAAGGGCCATAACTCTAGAAGTAATTGACTTCTTCGTTTCACTAATTTAAATTATGCATATAAATTTCACAAAGATCGGGTGATAACTTTTGGCGTTAATGCGTGCACAAGGTTCAATAAAGTGAAACAAGGGCCATAACTCTAGACGTAATAAACGGAAATTGCTGAAATTCAATAGGCTTCTTCGTTTCACTAATCTAAATAATGCATATAAATTTCAGAAAGATCGGATGATAACTTTTGGCGTTACAGCGTTCACAAGGTTCAATAAAGTGAAACAAGGGCCATAACTCTAGATGTAATAAACGGACATTGTAGAAATTCTATAGGCTTCCTCGTTTCACCAATTTAAATCATACATATAAATTTCACAATTATTGGGTGATAACTTTCTAGATGTAGTTAACGGAAACTGCTGAAATTCAATAGGCTTCTTCGTTTCACTAATTTAAATAATGCATATAAATTTCAGAAAGATCAGATGATAACTTTTGGTGTTAGTGTGGTCACAAGGTTCAATAAACTGAAACAAGGGCCATAACTCTAGACGTAATAAACGGAAATTGCTGAAATTCAATAGGCTTCTTCGCTTCACTAACTTAAATATTGCTTATAAATTTCACAATGATCGGATGTTAACTTTTGGCATTAGAGCGTTCACAAGGTTCAACAAAGTGAAACAAGGGCCATAACTCTAGACATAATTAACAGAAATTATTGAAATTAAATAGACTTCTTCATCTCACTAATTCAAACAACATATATCAATTTTAAAACAATTGAATGATAATTGTCGGGACGGACGGACGGACTGACAGACGGACGGAAGTGGGGGCGACAGCAATATACGTCCACATTTCAACGTAGGCGTATAAAAATACATGCAGAAATCACTCATAATAACATGAAAATGTGTATGGATCAATCAACAAAAAATTAACACGTACCTTATATCTGACTTCAATTTCATCTAGATTTTGCTGCAACTGAGCTTTATCTTGTCCATCTAATTCTTGAAGTAATTGTTTACCAATGGTCAGATATTCATTTAATAATTTATCGTCGGCTCTATCAAAGAATCGCTGAAATATTAAAAACTTCCATTTATAATGATTTCTTTTTTAATACATAAACAAAAAACAACATCTGAAGCAAACTATAAACAAGCCAACAGTGAGGCTGATGTCCCCTGCCGAAATCCCAAAATAATTAGACGACACAATAGTACATTTATCTTTTTCAAAAGTATTGAGCAATCGAATTGATTATCTGTACTTAATCTGAGCATAAAATGTTCAGGATTACACTCAGTTAAGGTTTTGTAGTACCTGGTAGTGAAACTATACACTAAGTTTCATCACTCTCCATCAGTTAAAATCAAAGTTATCTTGTCCCAAAGCATCGACCAATGAAATTGCTTAGCTCTGCTTAGCTTTAGTGGGAAATATTAATCATTGAACTCAGTCAAGACATTCACCTAATGAACATCTACATCAAGTTGCTAATCAAATTGCTTATCTCTGCTTTGCTTACCCTAAGCAGAAAATGCTCATCTTCGAACTCCATCAATGTAGTCACCTAATAAACACCTACACCAAGTTTGAACATTCTAGCTCAATTAGAAGTTGAGTTATTGTGTCCCAAAGAGTGTGACAAATGAACAGACAGATGGACGGACGGACCCATTCTAATTGGCGGGGGACAATAACAAATACAGATTCAGTTATATGTCCACTGTAAACAATTACCTCATTTGGGGACAAACAGTACAATATTTACTTCATAAATTTGCATGTGCCCCTTGTTGTTTAAAAGTGGTCAGACACCAAAGAACTCGAAAGAAAACCTACACCTACAATAGTGGGGTCTAACCATTCAAATTATTTGAAGAATAAAATGATTTCAAATAATTTCATTTTTCAAGTTTTTATACATCTATCTCATTCTTTGGAGGATAAAATGAAAACAGCCAGTCAAACAAACCTTATGTTTACGAATCAAACTATCAGAATCATCTGCATTTTCATCTAATATCATTTCAGCATTATCTATCCATTCTTCTACCTGATTTTGTTTTGTGGTTAATGTACGCCATAACTTAACTTGACTTTCTAATTTCTTCTCCCATTCTTTAGAAAACCTTTGGAGATTCTGCAAGAATAGAACAAAAAACATACAAACACCATGATTACTATGAGTTGCTCAAATTTGTCACAAAATTATTATTTACATCATGTATCATTAGACTGAATTATACATAAAAAGTTGATAATTTAAACACCCAACATTTTTAAGTTTGATCACACTATATATGCCAAGAAAAGACTTAAACATGCATTAGGCCTGAAATGTTATCTAAATTATCAATTAGACATTAATTAACTTATCCAGACCATAATAAACTCTTGATGTCAAGGCTAGCCTTCGATGTTGGCTGGATTAGATTCCTATATGCCGCTATTGGCCGTTGATAATTAAATTAAAAAAAGTGGATAATCAAGACTATGCTGTTTATATTAATGAGTTTAGTAATGATGACCGAGACTATGCCAAAATTTCACCGGCTTCTTTCTCGGCTCATAGTGGATGAATTTGACTGAAATTTTCAGCAAATTACCTTTACACTATCTAGTTTTTAACTATTATAGCGAGAACTGCCATCTCGTTATTTTATGTCCCATAATGTATCTTTAATAGGAAAAAAAAGAATATTCACAAACCAACATAAACCATCCTCAATTAATATGTCAATCCAAACTTCTTATAAGTCATTATAATCATGAATCATTTAAAACATGACTTTGAAGATATTTCAGTTTGTACAAGTTTTTCTTCCAAACCATTGGTCTTACCTGGAATCTTGTATTAACAGTATTCATCATTTCATCTACTGGTGTATAGCCTATGTTTGTTAGTTTAGGTTTGGTACTACATATCTTACTATATACTTTGTTCTTACTTTCTAATATAGACTTCTGGTATGTCACTTGAGCAAAAAATGCCTGTAACATAAAATAAACAGTAGGGGTTGCAATGCATTGTTATTACAAGGTCATTCCGAGATAATTACTAAATTATTAAATTAACTCATTTTGTGTAACATTTAAATCTGTTTTTACTCACAAAACATTCATTTTTAGTGGTACTAAAACTAGCAGAATCTATTGATCAAAAGCATTCAATCTTCAATCAGTTTGTTAGAGAAGAGAAGAAATGTAAACTCAATTTCTAACCTTGTGTTGTTCTAACCTAGTTTCGGCATCTGAAGAATTTCCCTCCATTTTATGTGATTGAAGTATATCTTCTCCTTCATCAAGCCATTTATTTAAATCTAATAGTCCTGTTTCTAAACTTTCTACATTAGGAAGCAGTGCCTTTAAATATTTCCTTTTCTCAGGAATTTGTCTGCGAAGTCTGACAATTATCTCTTTTTTAACATTCAAATCTCCTAACATTTTATTGATGACATCTGGTTCAGTATCCTGAACTAGTGATTGGGCTGTTTTTGTGATTGTTTTAAATTCTGCCTCAATATCTGGCATCATAGCATTTAATTCCTGAAAGAAAAGACAGAATATCAAATGAAAATCAAACAACAAATCCAAAGGAAAGCTTGCCAGGTAAGATAGCATAAGTTCACAATGTAGGCTACTTTAATCAACAATCTATCAGTCAAGGGCAATAATTCTGGAATTAATTTTGAGAAAATGCTCATAATCAATAGGGATCATCTTTATCCCGATACTAACTATCCCTGACAAATGCACAAAAATCAATAAAGAGTAAGTGATCACATGAAATTGTAAATCAACTGCTGGATGGAAGGGGCAGACAGCATTCCCATTAACAGGTGTACATCTAAAAACTGGATAAGTTAAAAACACACCGTCATCAAATTTAACATACATGTATCAAGAAGCCCTACTAACATTTTTTCAAATAAAAAAAATAGAAATAGACTGTTGAGAGTTTTCATTAAAGTATCATGAAATACAGAAGTGACATCATTTTTTAATGTTGGTGTATCATTCGTTCAGATAAATGTATGGGCAACTTGCCAAACATACATTATTTATACTAGATTAAATATAGGACCCAGGTGACATATCTATTGAAAATAGGCTGCCAGGCAACGAAACATATGCCCAAAGTAGCTAAATTGACTGGGCGGTCAACATGGGTTGTCAAATATTTAATTAATGTCTAATCAATAATTTAGATAACATTTCAGGCCTAAAGAAAGAACTGCAATAGGTGGATTCAGCTCTAGCATAATGCATGTTTAATCTTTTGTAGGTAATGTGGGGGCCATTTACAAGACAATTTCAAACAGATCAGATTATAATATGCATCCTTTGAGGGTTCACAAGGTGCTACACACTGAAATAGGGGCCTCAACACTGGAAGTAATTTACAAAAATTGTGGAAATTCGACAGCCTTTTTCGTTTTTCAAATTTAAATAATGTATATAAATTTCAACAAAGTGAAAGAGGGCCATAACTCTAGAAGTAATTAATGTAAATTGCTAAAATTCAATAGGCTTCTTCATTTTACTAATTTAAATGATGCATATAAATTTCATACATATGGGATCATAACAAGGGTCGAAGATAGGTTACCAGACAAAGAAACATACCCTCACAGCAGCTAAATTGTCTAAGCGGTTGACAAGGGTTGTAGCATATTTATTCTTTTGCAGGAAATTGGGAGCATTTACAAGACAATTTCATACAGATCAGATTATAATTTTCATTGTTTGAGGGTTCACAAGGTTCTACAAACTAAAACAAGAACTTAACTGTGGAAGTAATGTACCGAAATTGTTGAAATTTGACAGGCTTTTTCGTTTTGCTAATTTAAATAATGCATATAAATTTCATACAGATTGGATCATAAATTTTGTCAATCAAACGTTCACAAGGTTCAACAAAGTAAAACAAGGACCATAACTCTAGGAAGTAATTAATAGAAACTGCTGACATTCTATAGGATACTTTGTTTTAATAATTTAAATGATGCTTATCAATTTCATACAGATCGGATGATAACTATTGTCATTAGAGTGTTCCCAAGTTGCAACCAAGTGAAACAAGGGCCATAACTCCAGACATAATTAACAGAAATTGCTGAAATTCAATAGGCTTCTTGGTTTCACTAATCTAAATAATGCATATAAATTTCATACAGATCAATTTCACAACAATCAACATATATCAATTTCAAATCAATCAGATGATAAATGTAGTCTGTAGAGTATTCACAAGGGCAACGATAATATACATCCACACGACCATATGGGCGTATAAAAAGCATGTGTGGGATAGTGTCTGTATTTTATGTTGTTTAATGGTTTAAGACATTGTGTAATAAATTGAAACAACACTCAGGCTAACACCCTCATGCAGTATCAATATATCACTTAATGGCTCGCTCTCGACCAATAAACCACACATAATCAAAAGACTCTATATAAAGAAACCATACACTTACATCTAATTCTAAAAGGTATGCCTTAAGATCTGAGTGTACACATGGAATAGGTGTCTCCATCATAGAATCGGCACGTTCTAACCATTCATGTATTGAATTAAATCCACTGGTATAAACAGATCGTGCTTTACCAACAACTTCATTTTGTTGATAGAGCTGGAAATTGTCTGTTAACATCTTAAAGCGATTATTTAAATCATCCACTGTTTGTTGGATTTCTTCAGCTACCGATGCACGACTCGTCTCCATAAGAAACTCTGATGTTTTATTTAATGTCTCAAATCTATCTTCGATATCTCTTAGATCACTAAAAAAATGCTGAAAAAAAAAAAAAAATGTTTAGAAATAATTCAGAACAGCGAATTTATAATTTTTTTTATTCTCTGGCTATTGTTGCACTTTGGAGCGAAAAGATGGGTTTTGACCGAGTGTGTCTACTTGTATCGTCCCATCAAATATCTTCTGAATACCATCGCTGGAAGTCTTAGTTCTATTCAGTTTGTTGAAACAAAATATGTAACATGACAGTCTGTCTCTTAGATCTGCAGTAGGAACTTAAACCCCATTTCATTTTATTTCTCTTTGATCTGGTGTCTTCCCTAAAACTTTGGACAGTTGATTAAATGTATTAAAAGATGGTGAAAACATTGGTCGTCTGCTGCATGGTCCAAAAGACGATAAAAAGCTTCTCTATGTGTTGCAATTACCCAATGCATACTTTTGAAGATATTTTGGATAGCCTCATTTGTCACACCATTAGTTTTTCTGCAATATTCTGCTATTCTCTGGTTAATCGGTCATAATGTATTTCGCATGCTGTGACATAATGTAGCCCAAATTTGAGAAGTGTTTGAGTGGGATTATGTCTAATTGAATGAAATAATGCAAGGAGTATGCAATTCAGTGGCGTGCAGAAAAGGGGGGGGGGGCTGGCTGGGCAATGGTCCCGGACCCCGGTCATCCATTCATTTCAGAGGGGCATCCTATCAGAGTGAAATTAAATTAATTTTTTAGAAATATGAAATTATCGCTGTTAACATCGTTGTACATGCTGCCCTATATATGTCTGGTTAAAAATTAATTTCATCTGTTTTTACATATTGGAAATATCCTATTTTCTTATATTTAGGAATACTAGGTTTTATGTGAGCATGCTATCAAGAAGTTGGCTCCAGGAATCACCAAAACTCTGCATACTAATGCCACAATTTGATATAAAAAAAATTACCAATTTTTCCTCAGGTGTCCCTTGCATAACTCTTTCTCCTTCATCTAACCATGCAGTAATTGCATTAACACTTGATGCATAATGTCTCCACATATCTATCTGTTGTGTTAGATTAGGCTTTAAAGCACGTACTTCCCGAGATAGGTCTCTCCATTTAGAATTAATATTCTCTATTTGATCAGGAATGCCTTTAACTTCAGGAGCGACTATAAAAAATAAAGTAAGTAAAATATAACATGTTATACATGTTTGTAGTTGACATCAAACTGTATAAAAACATAAACTAGTATGGTACAGAATTCATTATTATTCTTTACTAGCAGGATACCCGGCTTTGTTTGGTGCCCAATTCGCCTGGGGCCCAATTTGCCAATGACCTAAATTTGCAGGGGCCCAAAATCGCCAGGGTCATAATTCGCCTGCGGCCCAAATTCGCTGGCCTAAAATATTCACATGGTCATAGTGGTTAATTTGATACCACATGTGGAGGTGGAGCATGGCGTGATGGGCAAACATACATACATACTTTAATTTTATTTATATAGATTTACAAAAAAATTTGTAGGGTTTTTGTTTCTATATATATGCTTGGACAACAGTAGCTACATCACATGTCAATAGTAACCAAGAGCAAAATTTAAAATCCAAAATATATTAATAGTGTTACTGAAATAGAAAGGAAAGTTTAGTAATATTTTCATGAATTACAGATCTGATTAAAACACAGATCTTATTTCAGTTCGTTTTTTATGGTTCAAAATTTCATTTTATTTGTCTTTACTACACTAGGATCTGGAAGAGTTGTTATACAATCTGGTTAAAACACAGATCCTATTTCGTTTCGTTTTTATAGTTCAAATTTCGTTTTACTTGTCTTTTGTCTTGATTACACTTGGATCTGGAAGACTTATTATTTAACTCGTGTTCTGCTTGAAATGAGAGGTCAGCCAATCAAATGGTCTGTCGAATCGAGTGTTTGACCTTTTTTGCCCGGAACTGTGGGTAATCCACTAGTAACATCAATGCTGATTGGTTAATCAATTGTCTGGCGTCATAGGTCAAAAGTCGGTCTTTTGACCCCTGACGTGACCTATCGCTATAACTTGTCAGATCTTCATATAGTGTAGGCCATCGAAAGTATAAAAAAAAAAAAACGAAATATAGATCTGTATTTTAATCAGATTGGTTGTTATATAACCCGCGTTCTGGATAATGTGAGGGATTACCCAATGCAAAGGTCTGTTACGGCGAGTTTTTGGCATAAGGTGCACAGAACTGTGGGTAACCCACTAGAAACATCAACACTGATTTGTTAATCAAATGTCTGACGTCATAGGGTCAAAAACCGCTCGTATGACCTCTGAGGCGACCTTCGACTACAAAATAACAAAACGAAATTTAGATCTGTATTTTAATTACCTTTGATATCTTTTCTGTAGATATCACCTTTCCCCTTAACTTCAGCTAGTGTGCTGTCAAAGGTCTTTATTAAACCATTTACTTCTACTAATTGCTGAAAGTGTCAGAATAAGCAAGTATAACAGCATTACAGTTCTTTTAAGGATGGTGACAAAATGATCAGAATTTCCTACTCTGAACTAAAAATCACCAAATACTGATAGATGGTATTAAATGAGATATTAAAAAATAAAACACAATTTCATTTCATTTTTATTTACTTTGCAAGCAAACAGTAATTTTTGTTGTTCACTACAAACCTTGGGATTTTATTGATATCAATAAAGAGTATGGTTTGATCTGACTAATAACCAAAATTATCCATATTACTTTATGAAAGACTCATTAATTCTTTTAATAATCCGTTGACAAATATTATAGACCACTCTTACGAAATTATCAGGGATGAGCATTTTGGAATTTGTTAATAAAGAATCTCTAATCAACAGTGCATTTACCTGATAATCATTATATAATTCTTCTACTTCTTCTTGCCAGCCATATTTAATTGACCATTTCTGTACTCGTCCTTCAGTTAAAACTAATATAGACCAAACACGCATTTTTGCTTCTTCATATTCTAATCTATGTTGTCTGACCGGGGCGTTGATACAAACACGATCTAAACGTTTAGCCATTAATTCCATGTGTGGAGGATGAAGTGATTCGCCTTCATATTTCCCAGACTTTTTCACCTGTGTAAAGAACGCCTTCTGGGCATCTAAATCTCGGAAGAATTTCTGAAATAAAAAGTCATAATAATAAACAAATGTAGTTTTGGGTGATACTTTTTTTTAATATGTATTTATATTGAATTATCCAGAATTACACTATTTTAGTATTAACATTAAGGACCTGAGTACTCTAATCGAAAGTAGAGGTAATAAGTGACATTTCGACACAAAAAACATTAAACAATATCAGCTCTAAGTAATTTAAAATCTTTGTTCATTATTTATCTTCAAACAAGATTTTGTGATTTAAGGTAAATTCTTTGAATACTTCCACAACAAGTTTCAAAATAAAACAGTTCGAATGTAAAAAGTAAATATTTATTTCAGTGCACTACTCTGCCGCACTCAAAATCATATGGTAGTCTTCGACCATCAAGAAAGAAAATTCAGCAATGTTCAGGTCGTGATAGATGGTATAATGACTTCGTAGAAGGAAATCCTTCTGGTCACATGACTTAATTAGTGTGAAACTGTTGCTGGAGGCAGCCATGATTGATTACTACGGATCACGTGACCGATAGGTACGATGTCATAGTTTTTTTCTTTACGCTAATATTTGAATTATTACACAACAAACAGTCTGAATGTTATGTGCTCTCTGGGTTATTTTATTTTACACATGGAAAAGGTATGCAAAGTCTTGGTTCTGAAAAGTTACTGCGTATCTTCAACTACTTTTAGGAAATTAAGGGCTAAAAAATATTCTTGTTGATGCAATTAAATAGATCTTTTGAAATCATGTGGTTTTACTACTTTTGTTCAAACAGACACACCTCGATTAACTAGACACACGCGATATAAACTGGAATTCTTACTTTGATTTATCATTTTACAATACGTTAACATGTATTTTTTTTATTTATAATACGTGTGGGATACATTGGTTTTAATTCTTTCAAAGTGAATACAGATATAATTACTTGAAATTGACATGTCTCGCAACGTGAGTGGTACTACTTGATTCCCCATTTCCGGCTAAAGAGTTATGTCCCTGTATTACATAGTATAATAAATTGTGTCTGGGTAGTTCGAGAAGAAAATGTCACACGGAGAATTCAGTTTTGTTTATAAAATTTTATTTGACATTTTATACACGTTGAAAGTGTTGAGAAAGCCTTCTAGTCTTCAAAATGTGGATAATCTTTGTGTCAATATCCAAAATGACAGGCATATTAATGATTCACAGTTACTGCAAATCAAAAACGTTAGATTTTAATTTTTGATTAGCAACTGAAAAAAAATGTATCGCAAATTGCGCTGCGATACTGGTTGTCGGCAGCCCTGCTAACATCATCAATGTCATAATAATATTTGGATAAATAAATCAGTCATTGTTCTTCCATAAGTATGTGTTACAGTTTATTGACAATGTTGACTATGGACTAGATTTAATTACCTTATGTTCTGCTAAGAGTTCTCCAAAGTAACTTGCCATGTCATCGGGATTATCAAAAGTCTCTTCATATTTATTAATCAGAGACTCTGCTTCATATAACCATCTTCCAAATTTACCTAATTTACCAGGATAACTCATATCTAGTTTTAATAACCATAGTTTAGTACGTTCTTGTGTTTCTTCCCATTTATCAGATAACTGAGTCCATTCTTCTGGTTTTATTCTTAAGAACTTTCCAGTCATAGCACGATCTTTGAGTGCATTATACACAGGTTCCCTTCTGTCTAATTCAGTTTTAAATCCAAGATAATCCTGAAAGGTAAAACAAATCATATACATGTACTATTTTACTCTAACATGAGACATAAACTTTTCAAGCAAAGTTATCGTAAAGGCACAATATACATATTAATAGGGTCGACAACAAGTCTAAATATCAGCAAAGCAAGTCACACATGTTTTTATCAAATGAACAGGTATGTCTAACAAAGACAAAGATCTAGCATAAAAAGAAAATATGTGGTCAGGTAATTTTTATTGTTACAAACAATATGCACAGAAGAAACAGGATAATCTAAGAACTTACAAGGAATTCTGTTTGTCTGTCAGTAACAGGACCAGTAGAATTATTTAATATTTCATTAGCATCTTTATTCAACCAGTTCATTAAACTAAAATAGGCTGACATTTCTTTGTCAGGTGTCTCCATTTTAGTACTTGGTACACCTTGAAGCTGTTAATTAAACAGAAAAATAAGAAAAAGGTTTAAAACAGGTATAACATGCAAGGAAGACATTGCCATATAGAACTGTAAACTCAGATATTGGTCAATCATTATAATTTATTTACAGCTGTGGTGATATTGAATATCAATCTTTGTTCTACACAAGATTGTCTTCTGCGAAGGGTATAAGTTAAAACATAGGCACATGGACCTACAACTACCGATACTTGTATATGATATGATTACTAACACAAAACAGGCTTTTCTTTACCTTAGAATCCCCAACATCAGGGTACTTTTTCAGGAATTGAGCAACATATGTCATGATTGATTTCTCATCTGGTTTTGCTACATCAACATCTACAAGATAATAAATGAAACCAATAAGCATTGATAGTGTTGTGTATTAATTCATACAAAAATTTCACAAAACATACAACAGGTTGTGTTCGATTGTGTGTCTGGAATGTTTCACATTAAAAGAACTGCAATCAAGTCACACAGAATCGAGGTATGTTGCTCCCAAAATATACCTTTATTTTGTTTTTTGATTTTCTGATTTTTTACATTTCTTATTCAGAACACTGGCTAATGCGTGGTCCTTTAATGAGTTTATAAATAAATCAGTGGACAGTGTCTTGATGTGATTGGAATAGTTGTATTGGTTGTTTACAGAACACATAAAAAACCCACCATAATGATAATCCTTGTCAGAAGATAAGTAAAATTGAGTCTGGTATAATATAAAATACGCAACCCAAAAACGAAAAGAAAGCAAAAAAAAAACCCCAAAAACTTGGAAAACTACATGCATGTGGTGAGTAAACTAGTGGCATAATAAAACAAGACAAACTTGACTTATGGATTTTACAGTTGGTCGGTCCATGCACTTTTGTCCAATATTCTCAAGTTCGCTCAACTTGCTTTGTTCACTGCAGGATTGAGAGAATTGGATTCTGAAACCTCCAGTTAAAACCGTGATCTTATCTAGTAACTTTTGTCACAAAATGATTACTGTTATATGAACTTACCTTCAGGGTCCAAAAGTCGAGGAATACCAAGTTCTGAATCAGCTATAGAGAAAGCTCTTTCTAGATTAACTTTTGATGTCTGCTGACTAACTCCATCCATGTCAACAAGATCAGGATTTATATTATGAATTAACTGATTGAAAGCTACACCACTTCTCCAACTTGGTCCAAAATCTTTTACTGACATACCGTATTTTCTGAATAAATAAAATATACATATTTATATCATACCAAACAATTCAAATGTTTAAAATTAATTTCTGCTAACATCTGATGAATACATAGCCAATAATGTACCTCATCTGGTTATCAATGCAACAACCAAAGTTTAAAGATTTTTGTCAGTCTTGGTATATTTCCAGACGCAATCAATTCAATACTTACTTTCCTAGTACACTATCTACCCAGGCTAATAAACTTTTCTTTGGTAGCGCTTGTCGTTTACTGGCTGATGGACCATCTCCAGTTAATTCCCCTACATTTGGCACTTGAGATATAGTTTCTTCAATCTGAAAACAGCACAATATTGATAAAAAAAAGAATCACTTCATATACCCAAGAAAAAGATTATTTGCAAAATACTTGCAGAAAAGGAGAAAACAAAGAGGTCATATACATGCAATTGCTTTATGTATTAAATTCATTTTACTAAAAAGCCACAGACTTTTTAATCTGCTACTTTCTTTGTATGGAGTTTTACAATATAACACAATGACTATTCTACTCCGCATAAATTAGCATATCTACCTGGAAGTATAAGATAATGGTCCATATCAGACCAAGTACAATAGATGGTTTTCCATCTGCAATATCTGTGGCATTTATATTCACCATTTTAATCTGAAAAAATTCAATAAAACATCCTTGTGCAACAATCTATACATGCACATGTATCATATTATAATGCAGTTCATTCAGTACTAATTCCTAATAATATTTCTTCACAAATTACAGGTAGAAAGATTATATGTTTAAACGTAAATTTAAATTTAACCCTTAACTGATATTTCTGGAATATGAATGTCGATGGGTCTTTTTGAAACAGAATTATATAAAAACAATGTTCTTACCCTCTTTTTTTCCAGAAACTGTAATGCTGTAGTTATATTACTCAGATGATGTGGTCTCTTTGCATTCTTCCCTTTCTCTATTGGCTGAAATAAAATTTATCAAATGTAATGACTGATAAATGGAGGTCAGTAGTGAAAATTTAATTGAAATTTGACTTCAAGATATTAATATATCACCAAATACATCAGGGTAAAATCTATACTTTCTGTTAGTAGAACTATCACAGCGATGGAGTGCAACACAATGTTGGGGGATTACCTTTACTAGTTTTCAATTTGGGTCTTCGATATTTTAACGGTTTGCTATTTAAAGCCTAGCTGCACAGTACAGTTTTTATTTTGATTTTGAACAGTTCAATTTTCCACTGCAATGTCAAGTTGTATAATTTCCACAAAAATAATTATGAATACATTAATAAATTCACGGTTTTCTAATTTTTAATCAGAAACAGTAATAAAAGAAGCATTATGCAAGAGCTAAATCTATCTATTGCAGGTCTTTTTTTTCTGGCTGCAAATTGAACATAAATTGATATTTAGACATTGATTCACATGACAAGCTCATAATCAACTGTAGGCCATCGGATGGCCAAATATTAAATGAATAAGAACACCCATGCAATTTAATAATTTAACATTAAAATGGATAATCAAGACTTTGTTTATTATCGTAGCAATGGTACTTGACAATCAACACAATCTATGCATCATCTTGTCAAAACTTCAAACATCCATAACTTTGCTCATAATAAAGTAATTTGAATGAAATTTTCAATATATTTTTTTTCATTATCCAATTTTGAGCTATTATTTGAAGAATGGTCAGCTCTTTATCTAAATCTTACATTAATGCATTTTTAAGTTATGTCTGTGAATTAGCATCAAATGCTGTTAGATTATTTACACCTTATAAATAAAATCAAAACTGCACTATAAAATGAAATGAAATGTGGTTTAATGTCCTACTTTTCTGCCCCAGGCTAATACATATGTAGGTACTATTTACACTTTAGCAGTGTAAGGAAAACCAGAGAAAACTTAGGATATAATTACGCACATGACTATTCTTTGCCATTTACAACTGGGGAAAAGAACTCCCCTATTATGGTAGCAAAAGCAAAATATTGTAATGCTCTGCAGTAGTGTGTATTTTAATGAAAGGAATAAACTATATACTACATAAATAAACTGTGAATCTTTTTCTTATTTTTTACTCTTATTCTTTTTCATAGGTCACTGAAAACAATGCTGTTATAGCTCGTAATTTATTTATCTTTATATCTGTTATCAACATACATATTTACAGAGAATTGATTGATTTCTAGGAAATGATTTGTTTTTGGTTTCAGCTTGTCATTCTCAAGGCATGTTGAAGGTGTGTTTTTTACTAACATATTGAACACAACAATAAAAATATATCCTTTTATCCAAAACTGCACACAAGATAAAACTAATTCATTCATGTATAAATACAATGTTATTCAAGTAAAGAAGAATATATATTTAGTTCATTCAGGGGCTTGCTGTTAGCTATTTCAAAAATCTATTTTATTCAGAATTAAGACCTAGGGTTATAAATCTATTATGATCGACACTCCAAATCTTATAATAATACATGATTTATGTTCAAGTCTATGTATGACCTATGTATTTTATGTATATTGTATGGACTAGCAGTGACACAGCTCTAAGATATATCATAAAAACATTCAAGGTTTCTGTTGTATGTAATGCCAATGGCTTACTGCCAACAGGACAAGGTTGATTATGTTATTTTATATCTAGTTCAAACACTATTAAGCAAGTAACAGGATTGAACTCAAGTTCAAAACAATGAAGTTGACTCTGTGAAATATTTATCTCCAGATAGTATTCAGTGGCGGTTGTTTAATACATAAGTATTTATAATCAGATCAGCCCTAAACTAGGATCAGTCAGCTTAACATGCAGACACGTTTGTACTTGTAGCAAAAAGAGCGGCAACTTGATTTATATAATGTTTATATATACAATGCTCTTTTATATAATGTACAATATTTTCATTGCAGATTTTAATGACTTTCTATAAACAACTGTCATAGTCAATAAATCAAAACATACAGTTGTGCTCGAAATATTAAAATTCATTTTATCATTACATAAATTACTTAATGGTAGTTTGTAAAATTGTCAAATCTTTTATTATCAATCTTACAAGAAAAAAAAGAGAAGAAAACCATCTTGAGTTAATATTTGAATTTAATTCACAATATATACGTATGTGAATAGATTTCATTGACTAGGCATTTTATAGAGCTACCGGTACATTTCAATATACCAGTAGGTAAAACAGATGTCAGAGACATGTTGCAAAAATCAATGATATTGCTTAAAGAATGGAAAATAATCAATATTAAACTTAGTTGATGCAGCTAGAAAGAATTTTATCCCTGACTACATCTTCATATTTTCTTAATTAGAAAGAAAGTTCTTTTGTTTTTACAACAAATAAAATTGTTTTGCATGAATTGTTGAGGAAAATAACTTTATCAAGATTTAATATTAACATTCTTTGATATACTCCAAAAAACACGTTCATGTAGCGACAAAGCTACGTTATGTTAGTCAATGGTTCTACATTCTATGTCTTTTGTTTGGCCTGTCGCCCCCTTTAGTAACATTTGCTAGTCAAATCTATTCATACAATGTATTCAATCCATTATATGTCTTTTTGATTTTGAATAATTATTGAGAAAGAATTTGTAATTCGATTCCTTATTAGCATGGTTACGGTTACAATTATAAAAATATCTTTCTTTTAAGAAGAAAACAATTTTTGTCATCATTTTATGTTTATTCCATTTTTCTAGGCTAATATATTCCACACATTATAAATTTTTTTTTTTTTTAATACACAGGAAAATTATTGGCCTCAATGGATTATCTTTAATCAAATGCTAGATTTAATCAATAAGACATTTATCAAATGTCAGGTGAGTGAGTGGTCAATTTACGTTCAACAAGATTTGTCAGTTGGCACATACTGAGAACATTATATAATTAATCTTTCAAAGTTGTACTCACTGACCAATAGTTTTGTTTTGTTCATTTTTTATGGCCATGAACAGAATGAATTGAAACACAACACAAATCAATGTATCGGTCAATACATTGGAAAATCAGATCTCCATTTCTTTTGTGACCTCTAGAGAATCCACAAGCTAAAAAACACGATTTTTCGTACAATCAGGGCCCATAATCCAGGAAGTTACGGTCTGATGTGAACAAATAGCGAAAGGAACCGAGATCTTTGGCACATAACCCCAGTAAACATATATTTTAAGTTTCATCAAAATCTAATAACAATTGTGACTTCTAGAGGGTCCACAACATTGGTATGACATACTTTTACACTATTTGCGTACAAGGAACCGCCAATTTTGGCAGTTTTGGCCCAATTTTAAAGAAATTTGAACGTTTTTTAAAATTGGACAAATATTGTGACATCTAGAGGTTCCACAAGCTAAAAACGTGATTTTTCATACAATCAGATACCATAATCAAAATCGAATAAAAATTGAGGGTTCTAAGAGTGTCCACGACCTTGGTATTACATACTTTTACACTATTCGAGTAAAGGAGCGGCCATTTTTTCTGACAGTTTCGGTCAGATTTTTACTAAATTCAAAACCAACCTTCATTGATATGTAACGACGATATATTTAAACGTTTTTAAAAATTTAATGCAAATTAGGGTGTCACAGTAATATATTCACATCTTTTTTTTAAATCGGATAAAAATTGTGACCTCTAGAAGGACTGCAAGCTAAAAACGCAATTTTTCGTAGAATCAAGGGTCATAATTCAGGAAGTTATGATCCGATATGTACGAATATAGAATGGAACAAAGATCGATGGGTTATAAACTTGTATTTCAAGTTTCATCAAAATCAGATCAGAATTGTGACCTTTAGAGAGACCACAACCTTGATGTACCATATGTTTACACTATTTTCGAACGAGGGGCGGCCATTTTGTCCTGCAGTTTTGGTCTGATTTTCATGAAATACGAATCGAATTCAACCGACATCAACTCAAATATGATGAAAACTGTAACCTCTCGAGTGTCCACAAGCTAAAAACATGACTTTTCGTACAATCTGGGGCCATAATCCATGAAGTTATAGTCTTATACATGGCAATATCAAAAAGTACCAAGATCTTTGGGAGGTAGACCTATATTTCAAGTTTCGTCAAAGTTGGATAAAAATTGTGACCTGTAGAGTGTCCACAAACAAATTGTGGATGGACAGATAGGGGCGATGGCATAATACGTCCACATGAAAATGTGGACGTATAAAAAACACATCTTGAAGGAGCTATATCGCTATTATCTTGGGAATAGGAATGGACACAAATAGGTCGCAACGCATATACATGCAATAATGTATTATAAATATATTATAAACCGATTTACATTCAATCATTTCTGTTTTTACTGTAATTTCTAATCTAATCGGTGAAATACATGAAGAGTCCAAATTGAATGGCAGTCTAAACTAAATGTCGATAGTAAGATTACATACCAGTGTTTCTCCAGATAAGACTTCCAATAAAGACAAGAGAACAACACCTGTTTTAATGTCATTAAACAGCTCTTCCACTTTCTCTTTCGGCACATGCTGAAAATGAGTAAAATTAATATTAAACCAATGGCTGTGGTCAGCTATACTATTTATTCAATTTCATTCTTTTATATCTTATTCTTTCTCTATTAAATTATAAACATTCTTCTCAGATATCCCATGACTCATTCCATTACTCTTCACATTTGTTTTTGTTCATGATCTCTGCAGAGCACAAGATTTAGGTCCAGGTCTGGTCAATTAGAAAACATTGACTTTTAGATACTAAAGAGGTGTTATACTACATCTAGTTTTGTCTATGGCTGGGTGTTTTTCTGTTATATAAATTTTTTAGACAATAATTCACATAGTCAACTCTTTCGACCATTGGATGGCTTAGAGATTGAGGGGAAAAGACAACATCCACCATGTCCGTGTTTAACACCAATATGGGTAGCCAAGCCAAAATTTTCCAAAAATGCACGACGTCACTCACAGAGACTATGATAAAAGGTCTGACAATAGAGTTATACACAGCTATCTATTCTTATATATTAAAAGTCTTATTAAGTCTTATATAAATTTAACACTAATTTAATTAGATCCGTTGTCTGAAATTCGATAAAAGTAATTGGACAGAAATGTTGAATATATTCATTTTTTATTATCTATTTTTGCAATATTATAGCAAGGATGGTCAGCCTTTTCTCTATATCCTACAGAAAGTAACTTTAAATGCCATGATATAGTTTTCTTAAAGCAGAATCCTCCATACAACTGTCAATTTTATTGGTTGTACATAGGTTTCAAAAGTTAAATGCATTTGCTGTTAATCACCAAGAGATGAACAGTTCTCAGAGATGGATATCTGTGTGTGATGTATATTAAAGCAGGGCTTCCACTTCAAAATTTTCACTGCCGGTCATTTTTGATAACGCACGAAAACTTTTCAAAGTAAATTCATATTTCATGTTTTTTATTCATGGTAGGGTATTGTGAATTCACGTGTCTATACCACTTTGTCACCATGGGGTGCACAAAAAAAAATATATTTGACTTAAAAATGGAATATTAGTAAGGCTCATGATAATTATTTAATAATTAAATATTCCCTTTTGGCTACTTAAATAACGAAATAGTTGAATTGGCCGGAGAAAAACCATTTCAGTAGCTCACACATAATTAACACGTGCTCTATAGAAAACACACTGACCTGGATAATTTTGAGTTGTAATACAATAACTTTGAAATGAAGATAAATATATAATTATCCATGGCATATATCTCACATTTTTTGGGTTTTAGACCATATCTTATGGAATTAAGGGCCGCAGAATTGTGACGTAAATCCTAATAATGTATAACTAAATGACTAACGGATAACTAACTTCACGGCTAGCGACACTAGCGCCCCCGAGAATATGGTCGGGTATAAGAGTAACCGTATATACACGACATTTCTTCTACACGTGGAATTATCAATATTGCTGCACAATAGAACTGGAATACGTATTTTTTCTTAATTGTTCGGTAAGCAAGTTAACTAATCTCTAGATTTTATTTCAACAATTTCCACAAGGCCGTAATACCGCTATAAACATTTTTAAATGCATTTTTCTCCCAACACGTACGTTGTTGAGGACTTAACGTAATTTCTATTCTTTTTTTATTTTATATGACAGTTGGTTGGATTCGAAGAGCAATACTTCATATTAATTGCCCTTTTTCGAAGGTCATAATAACCTCGTTTAGATTGTGCCTGACCGTAATAGCGGTAAACGGCTTTGTTGTTGAAAATTCTTATGACACGTGGACAATACGTGAATGATTAACAATGGGCTGCTTCACGCCGTTGATAAGATTCCCACTTATCAATTAACATTTATTGTTCTACTACCAGACATTCATCATTAATTATCAACACAACACTCAGCATAATCTGTTGACGACTATATATACAACTCTATAACACCAATCACGAGATTGGCTTCTAGACGACGTGCATTCTTGTATAGTTACACAGTGAAGGTCGATCGTAGCCATGTTTGAAATTGTTTGGTTTTTTTTAAAAAAAGACCCTCTTTCCGGCGTGCAAAATGACCGTTAGGTCAGATCTAGGAACGGTCATTTTCCATAGCCGTAGGTCTCGACCGGCATATACGGCCGACGTGGAACCCATGTATTAAAGCACTGAACAATGAATTGGACACTATCCAATATCACATATGGATGGACAGGATCTTTGCTTGCTTTTAACTGTTCAATAGTAATTTACAGACACTTAATTTTTTATGTTTGCAGCAGTGACGTGGGAACTATATTCTGGGTGGGTTGGCAGACTTTAGATCTTAATGGGGGGTCCCCCCCTCCACCCAGCCTTGGACAATTTTTGGAAATTGCTATATCCTATAGTCATTTTCTTATATATCAGTGGCAATATACCTACTCCTAACGGCTGAAATATACATGGCTGTACATTTTGTATGGGTTAATTGCTGGAAACTACTCACATAGCTCCATTTTCAAGAATGCAAAATTACCTATGGACAAAAATTCAGAAAAGTGGGTTGACAAAATATACTATTGCCAACCACCTGTAAAAATTTATTGGCGAACACCAACCCAGGCAACCAGATTTCCACAGTACTGGTTTGCAGCAAACAAGAGTTTCAAGCTGGCTTTCAGTTCAAAGGATAGAGATAAAATTACCTGACAAAGATATGTGTTCATCCAATTAGTAAAAGTCTTTTTCTGTACTCTTTCTTGTTCATCTTAAAATATAAATAAATTAAAATTAATCAATAATTTAGATTATCATATGAGCAGTTAGTTCTGTATTTTTAAAGTAGGTGTACATGTAACTCTATGACAACAAAGGGTTGTGGAACTACGGCGATAAAGAGTACTTTCCGTATGTTAAATATCACCCTTCAAGTTCTACTGCCACTGCAAAACAAATCAATGGACAAACCCCTCCTCCCATCAACCTACTCAGGAGCAGGTTACAATTTTCACTCAGAAAACTGTAATTTTTTAACAGGCCTAGCAATAAAGCACCTGTCACAGATATTGTCGGACACAGATTCATGCTTTGTCAGTCACAATCCACACGGTGCCTTTGTGCATGTCATTTTGTCTGGCACAAATTTATCTTTATTCAGTTTTTCTTAATGACTAATCAAAATAAGAAATCCAATAAATACAGTTCAAAACTTTCGGTTGACCTAAATCTAAGAAGTATTACACTAAGCATAATTTTTGATAATGTAAAATGTAGTTCACCTTAGGGTCTATTATACATGAAACATACATAATTGATTTTTGTCTTTGGGTCCTTGGGACTAATTCACTTTGTTGTCGCAAACAACTTTATTAAACATATTTCATTTACAACTTTTTCCAAAACATTTAAAATATCTAAGAAATGTGAAGTAGAATAAGAATGTGAGCTTATTTCGTTTGTAGTATTAGAATCAGGTGAGGGTTGACAATGTTTAAAAAAGAAAGTTTAAGAACTATTTTTGGATTACTGTACTATTACCTGATGTGAATATTTTAACAGCTCTATATACATGTACAGTCTGTAACCTGACATGATCTCTACAATCATCATTCTAGACACAAACAGTAAATATACCACACCCTCCATTACTATTCTATATCAATCTTGACTGTTTTTTTTTTTTAAATATTTAGGCCAAAAATATGTCAAAATTTAGGACAGATTGCAAAATAACATATTGTATAATTATAAACTGAAAGTTTTAAAACCAACAATGCCGCTGATAAAAATTTGATCTATTGCTGAATCTGAAAATGTACCCATTAAAAATCAATATTTTACTGAACATTACTTTATTGGCTTAATATTATCTGATCCATTATAGTAATCTGATAATGAGTATTATCAAATATAATGCATGTATCTTACAAACAATAACAAACTGGTTCAGTGGGGGGCGTAAATAATAAAACTGATAGCTGATAGTGTTTGCCAAACTGCATCAGCATTTTCTGCACCACTGGTTTTTGTGTATAATATTAATTCAACTTTTATTCCCCATGTAATTTGAGATATGTCATGTTGTACTTGGTGAGATACATAATTTACAAGTGGTTGCTTACTAAAAATTCTTAAAATATTTACAGACCACTTTTTAAGTATATCGAATGTCAGTTCAGAACCTAGTACTAATGAATAAATACCAGGGGTGCTATCTAGATATTTAATCTATTCAACTAAATGTTCATATTTGAATAAATCTAATATGTGCATGTAGGTGTATTTGCCAAAACACACAATATCGGCGGATTCCTAGTAACTATCCTATATTCATCCAAATTATTCAAAGACTATGTAAAATCAGGACATAATGGTATAAACAGGGACTTCAACTAACAATACAGTAAATGTAGGATAATAGTAACATGAAAATCCAACATAAGTAATTCGGAATAATAAGCAGATCATTATTAATAAGCAATAAGTCTTTAATTAGTAGATACTAAATATAACCCTAATTCTCTTCTCATAATAAATTCCTGTTAGGTATTGCTATTAGCAGTTCATTAATTACATTTTCTTTCTGATCCATTACCTGGGGTGTTATAAATTCATTGATTAATCCATGCTAGACAACTAGGCTTGGAAATGTACAGAATTAAGAGAACATTCCACATCAGATCATAAATCATGATACCATTACCAGGCTATTAATGATTGGTATTCTGTTATACTGTTTCCTACTCAAGTACAAAATAATTTTGAACAGCTACCAGTCTTCATATAATAGTTCTACCGTTATAAATAAATTGCCGGTATATACAATCAAATCAAAATTAAGCCAAGTCCTTGAGCACTTTTATGACATCATTTCAAGCTTTAAAGTCATAACCAGTTAATTTGCAATAGGATAAATAAGATTAAACTGTAAGTGATAAGTTCAAATTATAATTTGATTTATCTCCTATAATCAAATCCAATCAAAGAATAATATGATCTGCGCGACTTTTTTATTTTTTTGTATAGATTAAGCTTATTGACCAAAATTCATCCCCAGAAAAATGATTTTCAGGCAGTTCTTGCTTGTAGCATTGCACAGACTTAATAGATTGTTGTAAGGTGGTCGATTTCTCACGAGAGTTCGACTAATCAATTAAAACAACACTATTGATCATTGTGAAGGGGAGATGAATTTATTAAAAGCATGACACCTTTCTTCCTGGGTCTGTGTAAGATTGTTTTCTATAATATAAATAATCAGTAAATTCTATCTTTATTGTCAATATCATGTATTATATTTATCAACCTGATCATTAAATAAATATTAACTGGGCTCTATTCCTCAAGAAAAACCAACTGATGCTTTCACTCCTCAAACCTAAGAAAGCATTAAATTACAAACTTTGATTGGAATTGATCCAAGCCCTACTGACCATTCTATAATTTCATTGGTGGATTAATGAAAAAATCCAAAGTTTTGTTATAAGGTCTTTAACAGAAGAAATACAATATGAAATACTGAACTAAAGACATGTAAATAACAACTGAATGTAAACAATGGACTAAATATCTAAAATCTATAATGTTTATCGCTACACAGATATCAGTTTCAACTTGTCTTCCACCTAAATTATAAATCTTTTATATGATCTACTGACAAAACCTCCACTACATTAACTTGTATATCATATAGATAATATTTGTTATCATAACTTAATTCATAGACACACAAATATTCATTTTATATATCCAACTGCTTTTAATCTATTCAAATAAGACTGATTAAACCTTAAATAACCCATTTAAATAACAATGACAAAAGGCAATTGATAAAGAAAGGACAAGAAATATTTAAGAAAATTCAGCTTAATCAAATAACAGTTTATCCAGACAAACATAATTTAGTAGTGGGCTAATAAATTGTTAATAATTGTATAAGTACAAATATCTGCCAATCACATATATCAAGAACAAGTTCTGATGATATCAATAACATTAACATCAAGTTAATTCAGTGTAATTTTATAAAACAGTAAACACTAGATAACCAGCAATGCACAAAGTACTGGTACTACTACTTCCTGAAATACATGTTACAGAGAACAGACTATAAATTATCAATACTAACTTTATTCCCTTGGGAAATCAGGTCATATTGAACAAAAAAGCTTTTTTGTATAAAGAGGAATTCAAAGGGATAATGAAAAGATATGTGACGCTACAGCATATGATTAAAGGACTTAAACCTTTAAACATACATTATACAAGTGCTAAATCTGCCTATTGCAGGTCTTTCTTTAGGCCTAAAATGTTATCTAAATTATTAGACATTAACTTATCCAGATCACAATCAACTCTTGATGTCATCGCTAATCTGCGATATTTACTAGATTGGAATCCGATCTGCTGCTCGGACAATAATCCAGAAAGTTATGGTCTGAAATGGGGCAAATATCACAAGCGTCTGAGATCTTTGGGATATAAAGAGATGTTTTAAGTTTCATCAAAATCGGATAAAAATTGTGACCTCTAAAGTTGGTCCACAACCTTCGCATACATATTTTTACAAAAAATTTTGCGTGCAAAGAGCGGCCATTTTGTCAGGCAGTTTCATTTCGATTTTCCAGAAATTCGAATTCAACCTTCATTATGGAGGAATGGTGATATATCTAAACGGTTTTAAAAATCGGAAATAAAATGGGACAACAAGCTAAAAAAACAAGATTTTTTGTTCAATCAGGGGCTGTAATTAAGGAAGTTATGATCCGATATGAGCGAATATCGAAAGGAACCAAGATCTTGCGGATATGAACATGCATTTCAAGTTTCATCAAAATTGGATCAAAACTGTGACCTCTTGAGGGTCTACAACCTTGATATACCAGATGTTTACAATAATTGCATACAAGGGGCGAATATTTTGTCCGGCAGCTTTGGTCCGATTTTCACGAAATTCGAACTCACCCAGCATTATGGTGCAACGGTGATATATTCAAACGTTATTTTAAATTGGATAATAATTGTGAACTCTAGAGGGACCACAAGCTAAAAATAATTCAGGAAGTTACGATCCGATATCGAAAGGAACCAAGATTTTTGGGTTATAAACATGCATTCCAAGTTTCCATCAAAATCGGGTGAAAATTGTGACCTCTAGAGTGTTCACAAGCTAAAAACATGATTTTTCGTACAATCAGGGGCCATGATCCATGAAGTTATGGTCTGATACATGTACATGCCAATATCGAAAGGAAACGATCAGAGATCTTTGGGAGATAGATCAATATTTTAAGTTTCGTCAAAATCGGATAAAAATTGTGACCTGTAGATTGTCCACAAACAAATTGTGGATGGACAGGGGCGACGGCATAATATGTCCACATGAAAATGTGGGCGTATAAAAATGGATAATCGAGACTTTGTTTTTTATCGTACCGACTTTAGTAATGATGATCGAGGCTAGGCCTAAAATTCAGAGTGGATCAAATCATAAATATACTAAACAGCAAAAACAAAAGTCAGTACGATTTCAAAATCAGAGAAGAACTTTAATCAAAGCATTCTAGAAAATGACTTATTAAATGGTTCAAAGCAATTTTTTGTGAACAGTATGTTGACACATTAGTGATTAATTCATCACAATTCTAAGACATTACGAGAAGGTTTAGAGTGTGTACACAGTCTATACATCTGTATCTGGTGTGTCCAACGCAAGTGTCAATAACAGCAGTGCAGGGTCTGTACATGGAGTGGACCAGACGACTGATG